TAGGTTTTGCTGTTACACAGTCAAAAAAAACTCCACAAGAGAGATCTTGACTGTTGATGGTCTGTTTCAAAATGTTTTTTGTTGTTGTTGTGATCACTGATTAGAATGGGAAATACAATAGAATGCTCAACCAGATTCAAATGAGCCCTGATGGTGGGGGTGCAAAGTGCCTCCACCATAGGGACTAATTCAATATTGGTGATTTTTGGCCTGAGAGAAATCTTCAAATATGGCATGTTTCATTAAATTTGCTATATTAGCTCTGAAACCACAAAACGGGCTCACAGCATTTTTTTGATCATACAAAAGCCTTAAATCTTACCTAATCTTGATGCATTAAGATCATCATTGGGCTGCCTCTATGAATTGCAATGGCTTGTTGAAGATATTGGACTACCAAAATCACACTGGAATCCTTGTTGTTTATTTGCTCCACTCCACATTTAATGTAATGCACAAATGATGAAAAACAGGTTTTATTATTGAAACTAGAACCAAAACTAGAGATAAAAAAGACATTAGACAAATCAAACAAATATAAGAAAAGGAGAATTAAACTTGACATGAGTATAGATAAGAAAAAGAAGCATACCACGATAGTTGTTTTTGACAGGTATCAGAACAGAGAGACTGAGGTATATGAGATCAAATAAGGACAAATAGTACGTGCTTATCACAGATAAAAAAGAATTCAAAAGAGGTGTTAATATAGTCAGACGAGAATGAGAAAGGATCGAGTCGGCCTTGAGTTTCTCACCAAATTGGTAGTAGCCAAGAAAGAATTTTCAGGGAGAAGGTCGGAGCAATCAGAAGAGTTGAAGATCGATAGGAGTAGATGTTGATGTGATGACAAGATCGATAGGATTGTTTGACAAGTGAGAAGAGTGAGAGAAGGTAGATGAGAGAGGAAAAAAGGAGTCGGATACGGAAGGGGAATTGAAGGATAGGAATGTTGGAGTGAGTTGAGTGTTGGTGGAAATTGAGGCCGAGCAGATTGGCGATGGTCGATTTTGAGATGTTGGGAAAGATCGATTGTTGATGTCGATGGGAGGAGCTGCTGAGGATTTGATGTCTGGATGGAGGAATACCCAGTATTTAGGTCATTTGATCGGTGGTCGACTTGTGGGTTAGGTTTTGAGGAGGTTCGATGGTTTTCATCTTGAAGTGTTTGAGTTGTGGTTGTGAGTATTGAGAAGTTGATGTTTGAGGAGTATATTAAGAAGATGTAGGAGGAAAGTAGATGAAAGGGGAAAGGAGGGAAATCGAGAGAAGAGAGAGTGAGCGGAAAAGAGAGAGCGGAGCGGAAAAGAGAGAAAAATGAGCGGAGACAAAAGAGCAGAGACGGGGAGAAAATTCCAACAACAAAGGCAGCAGAAAGGTAAAGAAAAATGCCTTACCTCTCAGGCCAGAATTGCCTGTAGAGCAACTCCACCATGGCCCCTATTTTTGGGCCATTACTTATTGATTGTTGGGACTGCGCAGCCAACTTTACAGCCTTAAAGTGCTGCGGCATACACCATGAGTATTTGAAAATTCATGAAAGGATGAGTGGTGTGAAGTTGGAACCAATTTGGATTGAGGTGGAGGAGTAGAGTTTCTCAAGCTGGTTGTTTTGTGAAAGGGTATTGGGCAGTTGATGGAGGATTTGCTAGGAGTCCTTAGAGCATCTCTAACGGTCTGGGGGTGGATCGGCTTGCCTTTGGCGGCCTGGAGTCAGATGTCCCGAGGTGTCACTGGTCTGTCACAGGTGTGCTAAATGCTGACTGTGAAGTTTAGCGGGGGTGGGTGAAACACGGCCAAAGCTGCCAAACTCAGCAGCCGAGGACAGCTTTGGTCCACCCCCACGATGTTCAGCAGCTTGCTCGGCAGCTCCGCTAGTGACCAAAAGAGCCTCGCGGCCCGCTGAAGTTGGTCCCAGGTCCCGCATCAGCAGGACCGTTGGAGATGCTCTTACATGTAGGTACTCAGGCACAAAATTTAGGGACAGCTTTAGATTTGAGACACAAATAGTGGCCGCAGTGGCTCATGTTGAGTCTGTAAATTCCAACTAGGGACCTGATTTACCGCCCGCGGTGGAGTTGCTCTAAGTCCCACCTAGAGGGAGGCTCTTAGCCCCCCTGAGGAAGGGACTTTTTAAGTTTGATGCTCCACACACACTGGGATAGCAATTAATCTTGCATGTAAATATTTGAGTCTCTTCTTATGAAATAGTTTGGAATTTTTTGTCAAGTTCAAATTAATTATCAACTGCATAGGAAAAAAATTGAACAGGAAACATGCAAAGTGATGTGGAAGAGTATCTGTAATTAACAACTTGATTACTGGCACTGGTACCAACACTGCCACAGATACGATACGCTGTGTGTATCATGGAGAATTCTGCAAAGCTGCATGGCCAAAAACCAAATTTGTTGAATCTCCTTGCAAATAAAAGCAGATTGGTCAGATAGTTTTTTTTTATTGGGGCTCAGATACATAGTGATACATCTCAGATACGGGCAGATACCGTATCTGTGGCAGCGTTGCTGGTACTGGTAGTCACAAACAAACAAAATTGTCACACAATACTTCTTGAGGCGGTCTGTTGGTCTGTTAGGGTCAAGTGAAAACCTCATCAACCTGTGATGGTTACTGAGGGTCACTGCTTAGATTTTAGGCAATTCAAACCTCAAAACTTAGACTCAAGCTTTGTACATTTTTCGCATTATGCCAAGGGTTGGTCAGACCAATCATTTACCCCCTTTGAATCCCCTCAGCCGGGTCCCGTCGGTGACTCACAAGGCGAAATTGGACGATAGCACACACGATGGTTCCTTGTGATTCCAGAATTAGCTGAAATGTATCAGGAAGAAAGTAATTCAAACTTGAAGAGGATATCTAAGTCTTCAGTCGTACAATCACGTGTGTCACGCTAATAAAGCCACTGTGTCGGAGGGCTTCATTAAGTGAGGTGAAGGGCAGGTGAGGTTCATTGAATTTCTTTATCAAAACACCTGCGAGAGTGATTCATCATCTGCCTTGATTGCAATGAGCATGTGCAGTTCTTACATGATTGTCAGTCTACTAGTAACGATTGCCTGCAAGCTGAAGGCAATGGAGCTTTCATCTGAAGATATTGAACTATTGCTACATTGGAGGACACAAACAACCAACCTGGACAGCATTTATCTCCCTACCGCCCCAAACTCACCTTCTGACAATCCCACTGGCAATTCCATGGTTCCTTGCGACCCACAAACCAAAAGTCAGCATTTCGGTACAAGAAATGCCCCTCAAGATTGTTTAGAACAAAAATCTGATGACCCACAATTCAGTAAGAGCAGTTCAACTTCAATTGCCCCTGTCAGTGTCAGCTTCTTTGAACCAGACAGCTGGCGGAACCATCTGGGCTTCCAGAAAGAAAAATCAAGCACGGGCCTTTCTGACTTGAAACTACCAAGGGTACCCTCCGGCTCTACTGTTACCGCCAGGACAACCCCGCTGCCAATTAGAGATGGCCCCAGTGCATGCGGATATCCGCGCGGATGCAGATATCCGGCTGCTTTTTCCAGGGAAATGGGCATCCGAACCCGCATCCGCAGCCGCCAGCGGGTATCCGCTGGCGCTGGCGGGTATCCTCGGATACCCGCCCTGTAAAAAGTCGGCGAGGAACTGGCTGGAAGGGGTTCCTTCCAGTCGGCAAGGTGCATGTACCTCTTGCCCACTGGAAGGGCTTCCTTCCAGTTGACAAGGTACATGTACCTCGCCGACTGGAAGGAAACCCTTCCAGCCGGCCATTGGCCTCGGGTATCCATTGAGATACCTGGGTATCCGCTGGAAAATCAGTGGAAAGGGTGTGAGAATTATGACAACTAAGAGCAGGACTAGTATTAGTTGTCAAGAGTAGTTATAAGAGAAAGAATGAAATGTTTTTGTGGTTTCTTTATGTTTGGAGATAGAGGAAGAATCAAGCGAGAGACAATTAAATTGGAAGATCAAGATAGAAAAATGAATCTGTTTTAAGTCAAGATGCGTCCATGAGGACTTGGTCAGTTAAGGTTGAGCATTCCTTTCAGGTAAGTCTCAGTTTGTACTTAAGATAGGGTCCTGGCCGGTGGGCACGATGGTAAGACACCTAAGAAAAGAGTTTGTTAGATCTTTGTCTGTTAAGGATGTAAAGTCACCAATTAGTTCTGTAGTTGCGAGCAAAGTCATCCTAGAGGGAAGCTTACTCTGCGGTTTGGGGACTAATGCGGTTGGCAAATGGTTTGGAAGAGATTCGGTGTGAGATGGTACTGTGGTAGTTTTTAAGTAAATGAGCAATTGATTTATTCTGGGGATTGATATCCTGGACACAGAGAATAGGCTCATTATATACTCACAGGTCTGACCACTTGCCGTCCTTGGTGGGCACAAGCAGGTTCTGAGTCTCCTTGGGTGTCCCAGATTGGGCCCTTTCCCTTGCTGTCATGTGACGCCTTTCATCTGCTTTGGATCAGAAGGAAGGGTTCAAAGCAGGGATGAGTTGTTATGCTTGGTCTTAGTTAGACTCGTTTGAGCTACCACTTACCGCAAATGGATGAGGCTGAATCAGGCTCCTTGCGACATCTCTTTTTGGTTTTTGGGCCGGAATTGGAAATCCAACAAAGGGTACATCTGCACCTGAACCCGCATCCGCTGGCGGGTATCCGCTACAGCGGGCGGGTATCCGGCAGCGGATAACGGGTATCCGCAACGGATACCCGGAGACCATCTCTACTGCCAATGAATGCTAACCAAGTAGCTTAAGGTTTCTCACACATCCACCATGAACCTGACGTACTTGGCTCGGTCCTTCAACTCAATGTTATAAGGCCCCACAAAAAGACTTGGTTGTTGGACCCGGGAGTGGAATCTATGATACAGACACTGACTGGGTGTGATCACGGGAATAAACCCCATAAAGGTGGAGGTGACAACGCCAAACAGGGGACTTCTCTTAGAAACTTGATTAGTTAGACACATGAAAACCGACGTCTTGCACCTGTGTCAATTTCCTCAAGCAGTATTGGTATGGCGGCTCAAGGAAGCTCAATGATCACTCCAACTTCTGTCTTGATTGTGTCCAACCATGATATATCTCTTCAGCGGAGAATCAATTCTTTAGAAGATAGCACTCCAGAATCCGTATGTGTGGGTTTGAAATTTGATAAAAAGCTTTTCAAGAATCTAGCCTCAGTATCACCAGAGGACTATGATGGCATGGAGATGCTTGAAATTGTGGATTTCATGGAGATGGAAAGTGGGAACCGCACAATCAGCTCAGAAGATGAATTTGCCTACTATCACAAAGTCCTTCTTAAGTCTCTGCGAACAACAGTCAGAGGCACCAAGGAAAATCCCTGTCGAATACCGCCTAGAAGTAGTACTGAAAGGAGAACAAGACTGCGTGACGCAATGGGTGAATTCGCGCAAAGTCACCGCCAGTTTTGGTATCAACATTGGCAACAACAAACAGATGTCGAATATACAACTCACCTTTCAAAGCGGTGGGTGAATCTGGAAACAAAAAGCCAGAGCCGAGTGTATAATCTCAAGGCAAATCCTCATTACCCCATTGAGGAGTAATGAAAATCTGATTTACATTTGCAACACTCAGGCCTTCCAAGCTTCCCTCCAGGGATGTGCTTGTTTGCCGGCGCATGAAACTTGCTGGCGATGTCTACTTCCCTGCCGGTTAATAATACTTGCCGGCAAGGTTCTGCAAGTTGACTCGATGTGATTACATGTACCGTATACCTGCTAGCTACCAGCTGGGGAGTAATTTGAAAGCTCCTTGTTGAGAAGGAATGGACAAATCCTACCCAGGACTTGGGTTATACCTAGCACCTTCCCGCTGAAAAGCCTGATGTGCAAGCCAGGCTTGATAAGCGCTCAACAGCCAGATTCATCATTCAGGTCGCAAACAAGTTGGGCACTTGACTGATGATCTGGGAGGATGGTTACTCTGCACAATGGATAACGGGAGCTCCCAGCTCATGTGTAACAGTTCCGGGACGATTGTCACTTTCATTATGCATTTGGGGGGCTTTTTGTTTCTAGATTCGGCCACGCGACCAGACGGTTATTCAGATTGCACCAATAATGGAATCAGCAAGCCAAAGCTTTGACCTTTTGACAAGAGAAATGAAGGATCCAGGTTTCAAGGTAGATCAGCGACTGCAGAAAAAAATCAGTAACCTCAGGAACCAATTAAAAGTTTCAGTCAGAAATTCATATCCACAAACTGTTTGGACTTACAGTGCCCAAAGGCACCTCTCAACTACCCGCGCCTGCAAAAAAAAAAGTTCGCGCGGGCTCCCATAACATTCATGCATGTGCGTTTCAACCTTTGAAAGTGCGTTTTTTGAGCTCTACAGACTTAGGGCTTTTGGAAAATATGACCCACAAGTCTGTCCGACCATTTTATTTATTGATTTTTTTTTAGAACAAACAATTTGGAACCTCTCTTTAGTATATACATATGCATATAGAAATTATGCATTTAGAACGCATAGTATGTAATTAAAACACATACTATGGATTTAAAACGCATAATATGCTTTTAAATCTGTGTCTATGCACTTATGCACAGGCTGTCCCCCAAGTCCTGACACCAGCCGAGACCCCAGGCTGGGGCAAACCGGTCTGGTGAAGCTAAGCCAATCGGCTTAAGTATGTCTAATGAAGAGACATTAGAATATGAAGAAACATAGCAGATCGGTCTCGGTCAGAGGGAAAGGATAAGAGAAACAAGTTCATGTGTATTGCTTATACATAGCAAGTTGTAGGTAGAGGAAATGAATCATCAACTGTTGATGACATCTAAGCTCATCATGGCGTTCTTTGGGATCCGCCGATGTGAGCTGTACTTTTTCATCATCTTTTCCGCCTGAGTACCTGTAAGACCTTGCCTGTTTGTTGGACAGAGTTATAGAAATATCGTCAGAAAAAGAGAATTGGAGGGATCAATCACAACATGACCTACTCGTACGCAGAAAGCTGACGATCAATTCGACGAAAGTACTTTCGAATTGTTGACAGGGGACATTGTTTGCGACAGTCTTCAAACAGATCCTTGGCCTCAGCAAAAGTTCGGCATTTGTGGCTTTGCGATCTGAAGGCTGATACATAGTTAGATGATGTTAGTTTAGTTTTGTATTGAAGGAGGAATGAGATGAGAAAAAACGTACCTTGTTTGATGTAGGACCAGAAGAGCTCAATTGGATTTAGCTCGCAATGGAACTTTGGCAGGAAGAGGCATATGTGACCAGCGTCTTCAATGATGGTCTGGAGAAGAGGTTTCTCATTAACAAAGTCCGATTGAAGCGACATGATCTTGGACCAGCAACAGGTAGTTGATGTATCGTCCGGGACTTGAGGTCCTTGATTATTGGCTGGTGCGAGGTTTTCAGGAGATTCCAAGCTGCATGCTTGGTCTTCAGTTAAGAAGTAACCTTCGGCAAGGGCAGCACTGATAAGAACTGCTGATCTCTTTGCAGCGTCTCTCTTTTGCGCAGACAGTCGGCAGGTAGCGCACTTGAGATTGAGAGGTGGTAATTTCGCATCAGATCTTTGCTTTGAATAGAAATCCCAAAGTCCCCGCTCTTGAAGGACAACTTGGATGCCTTTAGCTACCGGTTGAGCGGAAGGATTGTTTGGATCTCTTGGGTAAACCATTGTTTGTGGTGTTCCACGGAGCTCGATGGGTATGTTTGGATCATCGGATGGAATGACAGTGTCTCGTAACAAGCCTTGCTTTCCTCCCGAGGACAAGTTCATGTTCTGGGCTTGAAGGGCCGATGGTGAATATGCACCATGGGCAGACGAGCAATCGAACACAAACACTGCCTGACATCCAGGATGAAGAGCCTCGAAGATTGGCAATGCCTTTTTGGTGACTTGATCGCACAGCTGATTCATGTCCCACCAGGCATCACCCTTTGATCCAGGGTATATAACAGTAGCAGCATCCCGACTTCTTGGCTTGACTTGGGTTGACTGGGCTTGCGTGATGGTATGAAACTGAGTTTCCGATAACTCCAAGCGTCCCGTAGTCTCTAGAATAAAGTCGAAGATGTGGATAAGCCATCCTAAGTTCTTTGAGCGGAAGTCTTGACACCCTGGTAAAAGCCATGTTGATTTAGGTCTCTCCTTTGCGTGGACAGTCGATTCATCTTGGTATATAAAAACAGTTTGCCTTCGGTCTTCAAGAAGGCTTGGGTCGATCAGCATAGGAACTTCAAGATTGTCACCACCGTATGTTTGCGAGTGTTTTCGAAGTTCAGAAACATCCTTGAGGTACTTGACTTGAGATGCGACCACGCCAGGTCTTTCATGACCATCAAAGTAGATACACTTAGAGTAGGTCTGAGGCCGAAATCCAAGCTTCAACATCCAGCTAGTGGCAGTTACTTCCGATATGGATTGATCAATACCAAGCTTTGGTAAAATCTCATTGTTGACTTGAAGACAAAATGCACGAGGAGAGACCTACACAAGCAAGTAAAAAAGAAGTCAGCTGAAGCTCAAATCCTCAAGTCGGATGAACATCTCACCTCGCCGGCTTTCTGTTGTGAGGACCACTGGAAAACTGAGGAGTAGATGTCCTTGCGGTCTAGAAGCGAAGAATGACTCGCTCCCTTCCCAGGTTGTGGGAAGTGGAGCTCTTTGTGTAGCAAGACATGTCGGGCTTGCTTGCGTATTCTTTTTGCTCGACTGATTCCACTCGAAGTGTTGCCTTGTTTTTCTGGAGGAAGTCGCAGGTTTGAAGCTTGAGCTGTTAAAATAGAGGCTTGCATGTTTGGAGCTGGCCGATGGTTTTCCGAGACCAATTTTAGGCGACGATTGTTGAACTCTTGAAGCTCTTCCAGCTGACTGGTGGGGAACACAAATTTTGGATCCTTCTTACATTTCTGTTTATAAAAGTCATATAGATATTTTATTGTATGATTAAGAGCTTTACATTCCTTGTCAAGTTGATTCCGGTTTGAGGCTGGAGCAGGTTTGGTCGGCTTGTTCAGGTATTGATTGACGTTCTGATAAATTCGCTGTTCCCTTTGTAACAAATCGTGAGGGCTTGGTTGAAGGGTGATGTTTAGGTTGGAAATCTCTTCAATCTCGCCATCTGGATCCGCAAGTTCTTCAATTGCGCCATCTGATTCGACGAGTTCTTCAATCTTATCGCTATCGTGTTTTTCCAGAGTCTTCTTTCCAGCAGCCAAGAAGTTTGACATTATTTGATTATTTAATCCTTCTGCCTTCTCCTTAGTTTTCCGGTGGTTGAATCGGCTGCTTTTAGAAATTGGGCGGCTGACGAGTTTTCCTGATTTGTTCAGAGGGTTGATAACTGGCAATCGATAGCCTTTGAGGATCTCACCACCAGGCGTCTTTCTTCGGTGTCCAGAAGTTTCAGTTTCTTCTTTTGGTGCTGCTATTGGCCAGAGGCTTTGGCACATGATAACCTCATCTTCATCTGCATCTCCGTTCGTATCATTGTCTTGGAGAAATTGTACAAGCTGATTCGTCTGATCGTTGAATATTATTTCTTCATCTTGGTATTCCAATATTTCTTCGTTCTCCTTTTCCTTCTCAGTCTTTTCCAATTCCCTTCGCTTCTTCTGAGATCTTACACGTCGAGATTGAGGTGCCATGGAAGTATAAATTAACAGAAAATGGATGTAAATAGGTGGAATCACTCGGATGGGTGATCTTTCAGTGACCTCAACCTCACAACAAGCTGCGGGGTGGCCAGTGTGGACACTCCAATTAAGGATTATGCTATTTTTCAGTGGGTCAAAATCCGGGTTTTTTTTTGGGGGGGGGGCCAACATTTGGAACCTCCCCCAGACCAGTAGTTGAGAGGTGCCTTTGGGCACTGTATTTGGAATTTTGGCTTGAAACTGACAGGAATCCACTCTACCATAAGCTATGCAAGAATAACTTGCTTTCAAAATCTGTTAAAGAGTTCTTCAACTTGATTTTCTATCACACTTTTGCTGCTCTGACTCAAAGATATTCCCATGTCTGAAGAAGAAAGATCTGGTAACTGGACACATGTTTTCAAGAATAGTACTCACCTTTCTGATGTTAAGATTCTAATTCTCCCTTTTTCTGAGATCTCATGGATTTACATTATTTCATTTCTTGTATAAATTCACATGCCTAGATAATCAGACCTACAAGGGAACATATCATTGGTAAATAATTTGATTCTCATATTACAATACTACAAGACCAACTTGTCCAACTGCTACCAGTTTACATACAGAAACTCTAGGGAAGCTTGTGCTATGATTTGAATCATTACAAACAATACCAGTTTTGCCCCAGGAAAAAATTGCCATTTGGGTGGTGGAAAATAGATCAATTTTCCTGAGGCTCTTTTTACAAAATGACTCAGGGAGTAAAAATTAGGCTAAAATGAGCTATTTTAGCCAAAAAATAAAAATTCCTCAAATGAGCTCCTAATTTTTACTCCTGAGTCATTTTGTAAAAAAGCCTCAGGGAAATTGATCTATTTTCCACCACCCAAATGGCAATTTTTTCCTGGGGCAAAACTGGTATTGTTTGTAGTGGATGCTGCTCAAATGCTATTTCAACTTAGCTTCAAAGCCCAGTGACTATGGAAAAGATGGTATTTTAAAATAATGTTATGTTACAAAGGAATTTATAGTTGGAGTAACCTGCTTGTCAACTGGTGACAGCTGATGAAGTTTTCCTTGTAATGAGGTTTGATGGCAAGATACTAGAAATTAAGATCATCAAGTTTAATGTTTGATTCTTGTATTTTAAATAAACAATCAGATGAACTTTGTTCTAAGAATTCTACTCAAACTACATACATACATAATCAGATCAGGCTGTGTCTACTTTTTTTCCAGGAAGCCTACCAATTCTCCTCCAAGCTCAAGTTTTCATAGAATCCCTTTGGTTTCCCACTAGGAAATGTTGCCACCTATTGTGCAACTGATTTCAGAATCAAGCTTATTGAGGATGTTATTCTAAACTGGATCAAAGCAAAATGTTTTGACAACAATCAAGCAAATCCGTTGGAAATTTGAAGCCTCGAGATCACCAATGAACAACCCAGGCCCCTCATGAGAAGATCTACAAATGCAAGAAAATTTCAAACCGGTTGCCATTGACATGGAATAGTATATACCCCTTGTACTTTCTCAAATAAAAAAACTAATTTTTCAAAGCTACAGGAACTTATGTGCAACAAAGCTGGAAAGACTTTGTACTTTTTTAGGGCGGAGGAGGGGGGTGGCTCAAGACAAACAATTGGTCTGATTTCTTCTGCATGAGTCTTCTTTTGCGAGGCGGAAGAATACAATCTTGCCCATATAAATAGCAGACGTATTAGCAAGAGAGTAGGTGTAGTCTGAGATGAGATGGTATAACCAAAGATCGTTGGCTTTTAAAACACACTTAATGAACACCGACCGAGCCACTCATTCGATTCCGCACCCTGGGCTGTTATCATTCCTTTTGGTGCCATCATGGTGTGAGAAACAAGTGCGCCGAGCTTTATGTGATTTACTTTCAAAAAAAAAAAAGGGAAAGGTGAATGGCCAATGGATGTAGGGGTTTAAAGTTTTTTTTTTTTTTTTTTTTTACAAGTCAAGTTCAATGATGGCCTTTCTCGACAGGAGCGCCTTTGGGCCATTCTTCATCTTCATTCCGAATCCCGACGACCCCTTCTTTGAATTCTCTGGCCCAAAGCATCGAAGGAATCCACCGATTTGGTGCTTGCATTCGTTGCTACATAATCGTAGTGAAGATCAATAGCCATCAATTCTCGTCAATGAACCTTCGGCATTTATTTGAGTTTTTTTTTTTTTTTAGATACACGAATAAAGCACGTACCTCTCTGTTCGCGCTAAGTTTGAAGACGCTGTAAAACACAAGCGTACTACCTGCGATGATGATGGCAGTATTGGATCTCCAGTTAGTCGGTCGAGTCCACCAACCACCGGAGGGAGACCAGACTTCTTTAGGATACGGATATCGTGCCTGTGGAAGGGGGAAATTGTTGAATTGATGGATGAGCTTAGTGAACCATCGATCGAGACGCCAACCAGAACTTGTGCACAAAGACGACAAAAAAGAGGTTGGACTCACGCCTCCACCCATGTTCGGTTAGAATGATATTTCTGCCTGATTAATCTCGAGTTGCTGGTCGGTCGGGTCTCGTTCTACAGTTTGAGTTGGATATGTTGATGTTGATGGAGGGCTGACCAATGACACTCGGTAGTTTCGGGTGGCCTCGCTACGTTTGAACGGTCCGCAGCCGAGTCACTCCCGATTTGAAGTGTCATGCCTACTCAGATACTCCAGAGAAATGAAAAGCTTCAACAGATAACCATTCCAGACTCAATGTAATCCCATTTTTCCTTGTGAGGTAGGTATAACCTTCAAGTTTTGTCAAGTTCAATTTTATTTCCATGTAGTATTCCCACTAATTTCCCACTAAGATTTTCAAATCAAGATTATCAAGAAATACTTTGTTTATTTTATATAAAAAAAGGCGTTGCTCTATAAAGTCTATGAAGACAAAAAAATCTATGTTAAATAGGTAAGAATTCAAACAATTCTATGATTACAACAATATTATGTATTTGGTGGAAGAACTATGCAGACAGGAAAGAAAGGGTAAATATAGAAAGGTGAAATACATTATATACAAAACATGTATGTGCTTGTGTGAATTAACGGCAAGAGCTGGAATTTAAAATAAATGCATTCGATTTCCCTTTTTTTGACGATCCTTTCTCTATTCTTCTGTTCGGGTCAGTGTCGACCGCTTGATTACACTATCGAACCAAGCAAAGGAGAAAACACCCGGTCAGTTGAGTAAAAAGGGGGGCAAGTTGAACGAACTACACCGCAAGGAATAGCAGCGAGAAAAAAAAAGAAGAGAGGTAAACATGACGTACTTCCCAAGCCCATTAATTCCATGACGAGTTTATCAGCCGCTCGACCCTCGTCTTGTCTACACATCTCCGCGATATTCAGCAGCTTCTTGATCCCGACAGCCAACCGGCCCTCCTCTCCAAAGCCAGCTTGATCCAACAGAGCCATCGCTCTCGAGAACGAGCCTTGATCGCTAAACAGATTGACATCCTTGATCACGATCTCCAACGAGCGAAGAGTGTCGATCGGCGGGACCCGAATGTCTGCTGCAAATGTATCCGACATGCCCATGTCTTGTAACATCGTCCGACTGGACGAAGTCGCTAATACTAACAACCGTTTCCCCTTCGGCGGCCGTTTGCCTAGTAATACCATTAAGGCTTGTAACACTCCATTCGAAAATCTTGGGCCAATCGGAACCCAATCTAAAAAAACAATGAACGCCTAAATCAGTACAACCAATCTTCCTCTTTTTAGTAAAATGATTATTTGAGATGAAGGCCTCACCTAAGATTCTCTCGATATTATCGACAACAATCACGCTCATTGGACTTTTGTAACTATCAGAAAAGACTTTATAAAGATAGTTGATCTTTTGCGCTTCGGAGTAGCCGACCATATTTTCGGGTGCGATCAACTTGATGAATGGAAAGTCGGACGCTTGTGCGATCGATGCAGCTAAAGCTGTTTTTCCAGAACCAGGAGGACCTGAATAGCGTTTTTTTTTGGTAATTAGTTCATGAGGGTATCCTTTTAAAATTTGGATGTCAATAAGAAGCTTACCATGTATCAATACACTGACTAAGGGCGTCCGAGTACTCGTCCGAACCTGTTCTACAAACAGTTTGCCATCGTGAAGGATTTCCTGTGAATAAAAGGAGATCAGCATGAGCTACGCGTGATCTCTGATGGCTGCCGGTGGGAATAACAGGGCACCATACAAGTCATCCAAACTCACATCGATTAGAGGAGAGAATTTGATGATCCCGTTTTGAATAACCGATTTGAGTTCCTCTTCGGCGACACCAAATGCGGGTTTGACTTCATCAAGGGCGTTCAAGAAGTCGTCTAGATTGACTTGCATCTGGTCTAGATCATCACCCACACCAGCGGTGGTTCCAACCTTGATGTGCCGATTGAATGCAAATGAAGTAGCTGATTTAACTAATCCAGACAGCTCAGCTCCCGAGAAGTTCTTGGTTAATGCTGCTAGCTCCGTCAAGAGGACATCCCCAGACATCACGTTATTCATCCTCATCTTGGCAGTATGGATGTTCAAGATTTGTAATCTGCCATTCTCATCTGGCAAGGAGATTTCCATGTGAACTTCTAATCGACCTGGTCGAAGTAATGCTTCATCAATCATGTCCAATCGATTGGTCATTCCGATGATCAGGATGTTATTCAATTGATCGACTCCGTCCATTTTCGACAGCAGTTGATTGACGACCGAATCTCCGACGCCAGTCCCGCCACCCGTCGATCCTCTCTGCTTACAAATCGCATCCAACTCGTCAAAGATGATGATGTGTAGACCTGATTCGTCTCCCTTGGCTTTATATTCCACTTCCGCTTCTGCAAACAGTTCTCGGATATTCTTCTCTGATTCTCCGACAAATTTATTCAGGATTTCTGGCCCGTTGACGATCTTGGGTTCCCTGGCATTCAACATCTTCCCAATCTGTCTAGCCATCAACGTCTTTCCAGTACCAGGAGGACCAAACAGTAGTAAACCTGATGACAAAACCCTCAAAAGTGAGCACTTAGTAAGATGAGGTGTGACACGTGGATAGTGTAATTTTGACTCTTACCTTTGACATGTTGAATACCTAATTTTTCAACCATTCCGGGTGGAAAGATACGACTAGCAAAAGCTCTCCGAAAGATCGCACCGAATTCAGAATCCAGACCACCGATTCCCATATCCTGAAATTTGAAATTTGGTTTGATGATAGCGTTGGGAGCAGCGCGCTTGCTGCTAGCTTTGATCTTGAGGGAGGCCTCGGGTGATTTGGTGACGTTGATGATCGTGTTGGCCATCAGGATGCCCATGGTTGCGTCTTGTGGGTCGTCTGAGACGTCTGCCAAGGCTTGAATATCTACCGTTCGTGCAGCGGTGACGATCGCCCTGAGCTTTTCCCCATTCATCTCGAATACCAAGGGCTGCCCTACGGAGAATATGAGCGAATCAAATGACTAAACCAAAGAAGAGTGTGTGGGTTAATCAGTAACTGAAGTTTTGATCAACTGTTAGATGTAAGGACTAAGAGTGATAAATTACTCTTGTGATCAATTGAGAGAGTTCTTCGGCATCAAATACTGAGCCAGGTGTTGCACTTCCTTGATGCCACCAACCTAATTCAAGGTCTAATTCGGCCAAATAGCAATTCGAGCCAAGTTCTCTCTGAGGATCGAATGGGTTGATATTGACGACATCACCCATGGTGGATAACTTGGCCCACGCTCGCTGTGCTTTCATACAACCCACTGTTCCAGGTTGTATGGCTTTGTCGGGCCTATGGTTTCAGACAGAAAATAATTATCAGCATGACTGACCTTTGAATGATTGAACAAGTGGAGAACATGGTGGACATACTTTGTTGTGAAGATGAATTGATCTTTGACTCTGACATACTGATGTCTTCCCAAATCTTGAGGACTGACTATCAAACAGTTAGAGAAAGCGAGTTGCATGTTTGGACATTCAACGATTTGGAAGCCAGATCCGGCGTTAGGGCCCGGGTTATTCGCTCGGTAACCTCCGTAGCTTCTCGATGAGAGTGCTGATGAGGGTGGTAATCTGGACATCCTGCTTTGTTCGTTTGTTCGTTTTCTTGCTTTGGGTTGTGTGTTCTGGTTGGTTTCCTATGTAAGTAGTGGTAACTTGATTGTCTTGGTTACGCCAATCGTGAACCGCGATCAAGACACCCCCCCCGGATCACCGGACGGTCCCCCGTAGCAGTGAGCCCCGTCCCCGGGACGATTTACCCCCGTCAGGGCCAACCACAGATGTCCAACTTGAAGCCGATTGGTCAAAAGATTTTCCTGAACAATTTACCCGAAACCACATCGTGAGTCGAAACTTTTGATCTTGATAAGTACTTCCTCAACTCCTCAAGGCCAAGAGCTGAAGAATATTTGAATTCAGTAATCACAGTTTGAGCAGCGGATTTTGATCGAGAAATCCCCTTGGAATCAAGTTTCGTACACAACTTCTTCCACTCGACCATGTGGCCGTTTAGTACCACTGCTTCGACATCCGCATCTCAGGACTACGGGAATGCAGATCAAGCGACATGCCCGATCGACCATCGATCCAAAACAGGAGACCAAGGAAAACCCAAAGATCACTTGCCCGTCCTTATTGCCGATTCCAATCGACTACCAACCGATCGAGTGATTTCCTCAATACCACGCTACCGACCTGAACTCAATGAAAACAATCAAGCACTAGAGAGGGATGGTACAAGAAAATACATCCCAAACGATCCTAGTCAACAGAATGCATGTCCGGTCGATCATCAGACTCGAATTGCAACAGCAGCAGCAGCAGCAACAACAGCAACAACAACGGGGACTACCGCAGAACCACAGGCAGAACAAAACTGGATCTATCCATCCCCATCGCAATTCTACAATGCACTGAAACGCAAGAACAGGAACCCAAGGGCGGAGGATATGTACACCGTCGTCCCGATTCATAATGCAGTCAACGAGAGAGTCTGGAGACAAGTCTTGGAATGGGAAGCCGGTTACGGCCGAGGCTCGTTTGATCGCTGGCCCCGCTCGGGCAAATCTGGGCCGATGTTGTGTAGCTTCAGGGGCAGGCCGGATGACTTGAGTCCTAGAGCATGGATTAAAGTTCTGTCAGGGTTTGTCTTCACTTCATCCTGGTCTCGAAAATCAGATATTTTATCTCCACTCTCAAGCTCCTCAACCCTGATCAACCGTCTTTTTTTTGTGCACAAATAACACCCCTCGCGCTTCATAGTTATCAAGCGCCATTCGATCGACATGATTGGGAAGTGATCCGACCGACGGAAGAGAAGATGCGATATGTGGTCGATTTCTATCCTGGCAAGGGCGCCGACAGCTCGATCGTCCAGCCTCCTACCGATCCCTCCGGCACTAATCATCAGCATCATCAAGCAGGAGTGCCCAATCTGTCGTTCTATTTGGACGTCAGACCTGCACTCGATAGTTGGGAAGGCGTCCGGATGAGACTCCTGCGCACTTGGGATGACATCTTTTCTTCCCCTCCTAGTTCGCCTGGAAAATCTGATCAAAAAGCTTGAGAACATATTCCCTCCTCATGCCCTGTTCCATACCATCTATTCCTTCGTGCTTCTTACTGCAAGTTGTTCATGGAAAGAGAACCAACTTATAAGCCAATGTATCCCGACAATACATATATGAGATGACCAGAATGATTGGAGATGTTGCGATAAGTATGCGCGTTGAAACGCTGATGGGTCGATTTGTGAGCCCATCAATCTTCCCTCTCCGTCGGAGTGCTTGATCAGCACACCATTTTCTCAAGAGAAATGTGGGTTTGGGTGGGACGAGGCACAAGTTTGTATGGATGTCTTTGAAAGTACATGCATTAACTATGGGTGTGCAACACTTGTTGAAAGAACAAGCCCCGGATGTTGTATTTCTAAGCTAGGGGACATGGTCAGTCGTATTGATCAGGCAAGATACCGTTGAAAGAAACAAACGGGTGATCTCTTGGTGAGCTCAAGATGTTGCTCGGTGGTCCTGGAGATTTCGCATGCCTCGATTGTCAGTGTGATTGGACCTCCTTCGATCGTTGGCAATTGGCCTCTTGTTTAGACTTCTCTAGGGAAACCGATCTGATCTCTCGACGACTGTCGGGGCAAACAAAGCTTTCTTTCTTTGTTTTGATCTTATGGCTCCCAAGTAGCTCCATAGCTCCTCCTGAATAATAACAAGCTCTCATCATATCTTCTGTCTACAATTATTTACATACTGTTCGAGTTCTATAGTCACTTAAGTAGTAAACAAACAAAATCCAGAAGAAAATCATTAAGTTTTGAAGAATCAAGGATGTGGAGAAAGCGAAGGAGTCCAATAATGATAGGAGTAGTCCGATCGATCCTTCTCACAAGCCTGGTCAGCATGGTCCATGTTGTGGAAGTGAATGGCCAAGCGGAGCCATTCGACCAACGGGTCCCTGCAACGACGACGGCGGGGTATCCATCAGACAGTATAAGCCCCACCAACCCATCTCCCAGATACCCGACTCCTATTATTAATGATCCGACTGCCCCCAATTACGGCCTCAACTCGTCTTTCCCCGCGGGCAGTACTCTCAACCCGACCAATATCCCTGGGACTGCGACTGGCGTCACTTCGAGTCCGACGACTAACTCCTCAGCCATCCCTCATCCTCCCCTAGACCCCAACTCTTCTTCTTCTAGACCTCCTCCTAATCAGAACCCTCCTCCCCCTCTTCCCGGCCCTTCTTCGCCTAACAATATTAATCCCAACAACGCCGCGGCCTCGGTCGATAATAATCAACAGACTCAGACGATTGGTGGCGGCTTGAAGCCGGAGATCTTGATGGCTGTCGTGCTGGCTGGATGTCAGTCGGCAGTCCTCCTTTCACTCTCATCTATCAAGAACCGAGTGTTTACAATGCTAATACATAATATACTTTCTTTTCACAAAAACAAAAAACAAACCCTGATCCAATTCGTGAACAAACATAGGTCTTGGGCTAGTGGTCCTGATCCTGGGTGGATTGTTCATTTGGAGTCGGTGTGTCCGGCCCCGACTCCGAGCCGCAAACGCTAGTAACAAAGCAGAGATTAGGAATACTAGTAATACTAATGATGATGATGATGATCAGAAGAAGAAGGAGGATAATAGGGTTGAGACTGCTGATCGAGCTGCTAGCCAAGCTTCTTCCTCTGCTTCTCGTGATGTTGGTAGCCCTAGTGCTAGTGCTGTTGGTACTGATAGAGCTAAAGAAGACGGTCTTGATCAGCCTGTTTCCACTTCTGTGTGATTCGAGAATATATAAGAGATCCTTGTTTGGTTTGGGGGCGAAAAATGTTTGTAGAAATATGTGCGATAATTTGGTTCCCCTTTCCTTGGTATATATTGTACGGAAAAGAGAATGTGATTGATGGGTTCATCAGTTTTGGTTGATGTTAACTCTTATAGCCACTTTTTTTCAAAACAAGCTTTGTTAAACCTTTGTTATATATTTGTTTTTGCATGTTATGTCTACAAAATTTTGGGGAGGTTTAACTCATGATCCATTATAATCCAAAACGAGTTTCTTTTCAGCTGGATATACATAATCGGGCATTTACTGGCATTTAATTTGTAAAGAGCTATCTGTCTGAGAATAGATAAAAATAGACTGACTTTATTAGTCTTGAAGATGGAGAGTTTTTTAATCTTCAGACTTCATGCAAACAAAGAAAGTGTTGGGACTTGAGTCCCAATCGAATTGGAGTAGTATTTTCTAGTTGGCGAGATCATCCCTGGGACAACGGCTGATCGTGATGGCTGATCCTGGGTATAATAACCTCTCTGTCTCTCTCTACATTTCCGCCCCTTTCATTGCAGAATTACAACAACTGAACTGAAAATAACCACTTCTTCCTCCACTCTGACTCAACATTCGACGACTGCACAGCACAAACCAAACAAACCAAACAAACCATCCCAAGATGTCAAACTCACCAGCAGAGAGTACAACTACAGCCAGCAGTCGAACTAGAACCCCATCACCAACCAACTCATTCAAATCATCAACAACCACACCAACAACACCAAAACAACAACAACCACCCCCAATACCCATACCACATCTACTACTAGATCGATCCAGACTCAAGCCAGTACCCAGACAACCCAAACCAGCACCCATCCAAACACCACCCGCATTCACAATACCAACACTCAGATCAAAACTCAGATCGACTACCAACCCATCCCCTCACTCAAACAACCCCAGCCAACACAAACCAGCCTCAAACCGATCAGTCAGCAATCAGTCACACAACAACAACACCAGCACTACCCCTCAAAAAACATCGACTGAAACTCAAGCCGATCAACCAGCAGCAGAACCACAGCCTGCTGAACCAGCAGCAGCAGAACCACAGCCTGAACCACCGGCGGAATCACTGCCTGAACCTCAAGCTGCTCAATCACAGCTCGAACCAACCGTAGAATCACAGCCTCAACCACCGGCAGAATCAACCCCAGAAGCACAGCCTCAACCACCGGCAGAACCCCAAGCTGAACCCCCAAAAGCCGAAGACGCACAGCCTGATCCACCGGCCGAAACACAGCCTGGACTAAGCCCAACGGTCGACTCACAACAGGCTGATATCAGCCTTCCCTCTCCCTCGGAGGACTCACCCGATCAACCTCAGGCCCACAAACCATCACCCACCGAACCCCAGCCGATGCCCGATCATCAGCAAGACCACCACCAACTCACAAACTCACTACCTCACTCCGAGAACAACCCAGACCAGATCCAGCCATGGCAACACCAATTCAATCGGATCCTCGACTCCGATCATTCCAGCCTCGAGCGTGCCAACTCCGCTGCTGCCCGTCTCAACTCACTCGCCAAACTCAACGGCCTCAAAATACCCGACCTCCCTGACCCGCCACTTCATCCATCATCCGATACCGATAATAGTCTGCCCCCCTTCTTGATGGCCAAGCATATCGAAGAGACCAAGAAGAAGGCCGGTCTCATCTCCCCCACACTGCCCATCCCCCAGTATCCACTCCCACTACCCGTCTCACTAGGCTTCAGCGTCGGCCCCAACGGTCGTGGCGTACCCAGACTATCAGCACTCCAACGAAAAGCTCTAGAGAAGATGGCCAACCAGCAAGACTCACAGGATCTCTCAACTGCAACTACCTCTCTCACTCGCTCCCACACCACAACCGGCACCGAATCTCCTAAACGTCTCCCCAACCCCATCCACTCCCCCTCAACCGATGAATCCCATCAACGTCAACAGGCTCGTAGCAACCTAATCAGGAAACTATCCAGCCGAGGCCCCAACACCCGTCTCAAATTGAGCCCACCTCTAGTCATACCCTCACCAGCTGATCTCCAGGCCGACCCACCATCAATCCCTAACCCTCAACTCTCTTGTTCCTCACAACCCATTCACCCAGAATCAGCATTCGACCATCCTGAACCCTTACCCGAGCTCATCACAACTCCAACCTTGGATACTATCGATCACCAAGCTCAAGAGATCATCCCCTCTGTCGATCACTTAGCCTTGAACACCACCACAATCGACTCCGTCACAGTCGACCTGTCCCGTACTCAAACACCCCTCTTGGAAGAAAATACCATGGTGCTCAATTTGCCCCCCGTCGTAACCGATCACTCCCCGGCTGTTGCACTCAGATATTCACTCAATTCTCTTGACAGTCAGACCGATCCAAAGCATGCCATTCGAACTGCTCCCACCAATTCCCACAACCCAACATCGGGGTCTGAAACTATCATCGGCGAATCAAAACCTACAGTGGCCGCTCAATCATACCCGAGCTCATCACCGTCCCATTCTCATCCAGTTCCCGAGAGTAGCTGGTTAGATTTCTCCGAGACCAATTCGAAATCTTTCATCAGTGACAGCCCAGACCTTAACACCGAGCCCATCTCTGAGACCACTCTCGCCCCTACACCCGACCCAGTCGCTTCAAGCCCCTCAGTCAGATCTAGCATCGTTTCACGACTCAAGGCTAGGGCCTCATTGAGCAGCCGGATCGACAGGAGTACCGCCACCGGCCGTTCTCCCTCTCCCGGCCAACCACAATCACGACAATCTTCTATCGATCGAGGAAGTGAAGTCCCAGCTGAGCGTCGGCGTTCAACTATTCATGGAGTGAGTACCTCGAACCGTTGTCTTGTTCGTTTTTACCCTTGGCTGATCTTTTGCCACCTTAGAACCATCGTGTCTCACGTCCATCCAATTCATCTACTGTTCAGCGAGTTCGACCTACCGCCAATGAGACCTCTCAAGATCGAGCAAGACAATCATATACCACACTTGCTAGCCGAGTTGGATCTCCTTCTCCATCTCAGTCAGTCTTATTCTTTTTTTTTCCTCTTTGATTTACGATCAGGTTAACTAACCTCTCGTCTTTTTTTATTATTATTCAGTCACACTGATAGGCCATTGCGACCTACGCGCGCACCACCAATTACCCAAGCTCACAATGTTGTTGGAGGCAGGAGTGCGATTTCACGCAAGAGTAGTACAGACTTGGGTCCTTCCCAGTTCCCTCCAACCCCACATTTAGTCCGAACTCATATGCCAGTAGCATCTGCAGTCGATTTGGCACGATACAACGATCAGAAACTCGCACCGTTCCCTGCACTCCTCGACTCTTCCCCGCCAGGCTCTCCCGAGCGGGCCAGGTCTCCACCGCGAAGTAACCTCAAGAGCTCCAAATCTCAGGGTCACAGTATTCTCTCCAGCGCTTCTAACTTCTTCCGCTCTCCCAGCCGAAGTCAGGATGAGAATACAAGTCGAGCCGCCAACCAGATGGTCTCCTCTCCCCCAGCTACGGTAATGGCCTCGCCACCCAGCTACCCGGTTCGCATGAGTCGTTCGGATGAGGAACAGGAGGAGGTAGTAGAACCGGCCCGATGGCAATCCATGGGGGATGCTGCTGGGAAGATGAATGCTGCTGCTGAGGTATCCCGCTCGGCAACCATCGAGAGTAACACCAGCTCGACGGCCTCGATGATTTCGAGCCAAAGACGAGAACAGATCCTTGCCCGTCTCTCTCCGTTCCTCAGACCATCCCATCCTACCGCGTCACCGGACCACAGGTTGAATGACCCACCACGTAAATTGTTGTGGCACCAGCCCGTCCTCCAGGTAGTCAATGCGACATCGGTCAAAGATCGATACCTGTTCCTCTTCAACGACATCCTCGTCATCACCAAACCGATTATCGAGTTTGAAGATTGTAAGGGAGAGTCAGTCCCCAAGCTGCCGATCACCCTCAAACACTCCTTCCTGACCAAGAGTGTCGTCGAAATCAAAAATCTTCGGTGTGTTTGTACCAACCAAGCCAGACGTTCATCCACCCTTCAAGATAAACATCCAATCCAATCGGTCAATGACGAGATGAGTACACCGGAGCATTGGTTCCAACAGGCCTTCCAGGAAGACCCAAGTCGAGCGATCCAGAGTCATCTCCAAAGTATTCACCTTGAGCCGACTGACTCTGAGATTGCCAAGCTGTTGATCGCGACCACCGACCTTGACAGACGTCAGTTAGGACAATTTCTGACGAGCCCAGATCGGACTGGAATCCTGAGGAGCTACTTGGAACAAATGAATCTGGCTTACATGAGGATCGAAGATAGCTTGCGCTCGGTCTTACTGTCGCTAAGACTGCCTGCAGATCCGCCGGCCATCGAGCGTTTCTTGGAGGAATTTGGGGTGGTTTGGACGACGAGTAATCCAAAGGTTGGACTGACTCCCGCATTGGTAACTCGATGGACGACGACGATGATCGTGCTGAGTGAACATCTTCACGATGGATTGACGGACTCGATGCGCTACGTGGCTGGATTTATTGGTTTCCCGAATGATATCATTAAGACCGAGGTGGGCTTTGTGGAGTCGATGGTCCAGGCTGAGGAGGCTTTCAAGGCCCAGGGTAAACCGAGTTCGAGCATAGCTGCAGAGAAGTTGGAGACGATGTTGAAGAAGTCATTCCAGTCTATCCGTCGGGATAGGTTAGTCCAAGCCCGGGCAAGCATCGAAGATACGGAGAAAATCAAGATTGAGGTGGAGGAAGAAGGAGACTCACGCGGTTCGAAATTACCGAGTCATATCATCTATCAGATTCCCTCGGAGTTAGTCACGATCAGGATCCCGGAAGCGGACCCACAATTTGGTATCAAGCTATTCGGATCTGGGCTAAGCTTCGAGCCCTCGTTCCTGAGCTTCTCACAATCTTCCAGTGCAAGTTTCCGGATCAAGGGTAAAGCCTTGGGGGTCAGACAGGTCTCGATGATCAAGATCGGGCGCAGGGCGGCGGCGTACGATGGCCTTCCACTCGATCTGACCGTCTCCGTCGAGCGGGCATTCATGAAGCACACCGTCCAAGTCGGCTTCCTCAACCACATGATGGCCAAGCGCAAGTACCTCTTCAGCTTCCTGGGACCCCAACCGAAGACCGACTTCCTCGACCTCGTCGACGACGCCCAGGCTGCCGCCAAACATCATCAGCCTTTCCCCGGCCAAAACAATGGTCCCCAGGCGGTCGCTAAAACTGTCGCCCTCCAGGTACTCATCGATAGTCTGATCCTCAACGAAGATCTGGTGCCGATGAACGTGAACCCATATGCATCAACCACGGTGGGTCTCAAGGTGACTCATCACAACAAGAGCAAGAAGAAGGAACTTGAAGAAGAAAAGAAACCAGCCAGTTCATCGACATCTAATCATCAGTCGAATGGAAACGGAAAGATCCGGTCGAACTCGCTGTCGGAAACGTACATCCACACCTTAGGCAGCTCTGAGAAAGAGCTGCATCAGGCGATCATCGAGCGGCGCAACCAAGCCCAGGAGCTCCACATCCGCAAGCGCCAGCAAAAGCTGCTCAAGGAATCACTCGTCTCGAATCTCTCCGGCGGAAGAGTCAACTTGAATCCCTACTCCTGCTCTAATAAGGACGCCCCCGTTGGGCTCGCCGACGAAAATCAGAACATCGTCGCCCTCAAACGGTTTATCTTCGTCGGATCAGAGTTGATTCATCTCTGTCAACAAAACAGGTCCGTTCTTCTCTTGCTTTTCCAGAATTCTATATCTTCCTAGGGTTTTCCTGATCTTTGGGTTGTTGTCTTTTGTTGGATAATTCGTAGCTTGGTTCCACTCGTCTTGGGCTTCTTGAGCATGGGCATGGTCGATAAGAATCGGCTGATCACCTCTAATCCTAGTGCTCATGCGGGGCAAAATCACCATCATCCTCATCATCATCAGGCTAATCATTTTGCAAAGAATGGGAGCCGGCATCTTGCGAATCCGAACGCGGTTCCTTCTGGGGATCTTGTTTCTGATGGACATTCGAATCCGAATGGAAATGGGAACGGATATCATTATCAACAACATCAACATGACTATCACGTCATCTGACCAAAAAATTCATACATAAACAGGTCCCTTTGTTATCTCTTCTCAGTTCCCCAAAAAGTCCCCCAAAAAAAAACGTGTATAAAATCAAAACTTTAAATAAAAAAAAAAGAAATCCATTCACCCTTCAATCAGTCAATTGACTCAATGCCTCCCTTTGTTTTATATATCCTTTTGTTTGTATTTTTTTTTTTTGAAAATGATTATATTATTGAGTTGATTGGTTGATTTCCTTGATACACATCTAGAAAAAATAAATATCTATACTTATATATATATATATATCAATCTCTTGACATGATTACTTATTTTCCAAGTTCTTCCATTGTTTGATCTCTTTTTTTTTGGTATTGGTATTGGTATTGGTTAGATATGATTAACGTAATATGAGCTAGACTGAATAGTCACTGTCTTGTAGAAAAATGTTTGTATGAAGGTGTTGATGAGGATGATAAATGACAATTTTTTGATTGTCTTGACTCTTTTTCTTTGTGGGGGGTGGGGAGGTAGTAGATGAGTGTAACTAGACAGTGAAAGTCTGAATGCAGGTTTGTCAGCCCGCTTTTCCATCCCTTCATCAATAAATATCAGAGCCCATGTGGATCAGGCCAATGTGAGAGAGTGACAGGACTCCATCAGGGATGATGCAATCAAAACAAGCACAATCCAGTGCGTGCAACGAGCCTAACTAGGCCTCCACGGCGGGAGCGGGAGCGAGCAGCGGAGCTGTCCACGCCAGTGGAGGCCTAAGACAAATGTGATGATCCCTGTGTGCTGAGTTTTCAAAATTGGGCTGAAAACTCACTTTTTTGTGGGTTTTTCACTCTCAGCACTCCTCCATTCACATCCATGTGATTTCCTTCCGGGACAGGGAAAGCCTGCTTCTTGTCCACATTTCCCTGTGCTCAGTTTCTTTGTTGTGTTGGCTAATCATTTATAGACTGTTTTTGAAAAGGTTGAATTTTCCACTCAACTTGGCTTCTTTTGGTGGGCCCAAGTTGAGCAAACCCCGCATTTGAGGTCAAAAAAAGTTCAAACCTTAATTTTAGAAAAGCATTATTAATTACAGTTGCAATGTGCAACTTCTGAGTTTTGGCCTGATCAATAAGATCAGGCAGGTCTTTCAGATTTCCAGACCAAACATCCATTAAGTTTTGAGGGAGCGTCATGATTCCAAATCTTATGATGCTCCCACCAAAACAGTGGAAACTCAGCACCCAAGTGAGTTGACTTTTGTCCCAAGTCTCCCCTGCGGGGATTTCCCTTCGGGAACCGCCTGGCCAGCGCTACGCTGCCAGATGCGCCCGCCGCAGCTGGAGACTTGTGTCAAGTTTGTGCGTGCAAGGGGTCTGCAGAAACCTTTCTGGAAAGGGTGGGCCAATCAAGCATCTGTTCTGTCAGTCAGCTGGAGCAAGACCCTCCTTCTTCCTTCCTCTTCCTCCCCCTCCCTCTGATAGGACCCAGGTGAGCCCCTCCCAAGCCTACTTATGTCAATATGGAGAAATCTGGGCTTGGGATACCTGCACAAATTAGTTTTTTTTCCTGGAAAAAAAATGGTTTGTTACGGACTACACATCAGTAACTTTCTTTGCATATATAAACACACCAAAAAGATTTGGCGGAAAAAAGTATTCCCTTGGCCCTGGGGGCCATTGATAACCCCCAACAACCCTTCCGATCAGGGGTTTTTGCTAACCTGAAAGAACCAATAGCTCTGGTTTTTTTTTTTGGTCCAACAATGCCCAAGTTAAGGATACAAAGCGCATCAGTACGCTCGGTGAGGAAAAAAAACCCCTCCACAATCTGCTACATATCCATTCATTTTTGTTGGTATTGTTTTCAAAAAAAAACCTGTTTTGATATGTGGGAGATAAGTGGGATTGGTTGAGGCTCAACCGGGGCCTCCTCAGATCTTGCAGAGACATCTCAATCTACATGGATGAATTCTATCGATTTGGCGGTGTCTGTTCTAGGTGTTGCTGAGCTTCATAAACCCAGAAACCTGAAAAACAAAGAAAAGAAAAGAACAGAAAGAAAGGTGTGTGAGGGTTTTCAGTAGATGAGCCAGTGGTGGGCCGCTATGCTTTTGGCCCAAAAAGCGTAGTGTAGCGGTGCTTCTTTTGCATCGAAAAATATAGTGTTAGCATTTTTTAGCGGATTTTTGCTGCGCTACAGCGCTTTTAGCGGGAAAAACAGCCCAAAGAGCGCTAAAAAGCGCTGTAGCGCAGCATAGTGGGCCCTTTTTTGCGGCCCACACGCGTAGCGTTAGCGGTGTTGTGGCGGAATTCCGCTGTGCTATGCTTAACGCTAACAGTAATTCTGCTGCGTTACGCTACACTAACCGCTATGGTTAGTGTAGCAGCCCACCGTTGGATGAGCATATGAGGAAAGGGGGACCAGACTGGGTTACAATTGGATGCTTGGTAGCATTGGCTCAAGATGGTCTATCCATCTTCTTGACCAGATGTTGGACGGATGTCCATCAAAGATGTTGCTCAGGAAACTAGGACCTTCTTTCATTGTGGATGTCCATCATCTGGTCCCCAGGTCTCAGGGGATGGGCCCAGGGAAGTGTTGATCAATCTAGTCCCTTCAATGGCTCAGATACACACAATACATCAAACTGTGTGTGTTGAGTGGGATTGTAGGTATTCTCTTTGAGTGATGCACTGGTTTTTATAGCTTGCAGTTGATTGTGTTACAAGCAGTTAGGGTGGAGAATCGGCCAGTTATGGGTATGGGTGAGCCCGACATGCTTGTTCTCTGACCCAAGTAGCCCTTGGGTGGGGTTTGGGACAAGCTCCACTACCCCGTGGGTTTGGGTTTAGGACAACAAAAACCGTGGGAACTTGAGGAATGTCACAAGTCACAATCATTCAGATCAGTTTTGCTTTTGGACATGCACAAGAGTATTGGTCTTTGTTTCAGACTCTTCATGTGGAGCTGGCCCAAATTTAGTACTGACCCAAGCTGAGAGGCCAACTCAGGGGTCAAGTACCCACTTTTATCTGAGCCTACAACACAGCCAGACCATCTGTGAGGACTATGTTTGTCCTTCACTGGTTCTTCTGTCTGAGGCAATTTTTCCAGAACCAGGGTGTGAATTTGCAAAGAACTAGACAGTGGAGAGAGAACTCTTGCAAGCACAAGCTTATGAGACTATTCAAAAGGAAAAGTGGAAATAGAAGAACAATTGGAAAAAGGAACACTTATCTAGGCAGTGGAGAGAGAACTCTGCCCTCTAGGTAGCTGAAAGGAAGACAAGACTAAATTATACTTGAGTCACTTAGCTTATCAACTATAAAAGGACCTTGTGAAACCCATTGGGATGAGGGTGTTTTACACCTGTGCTTAACTTGGGTGCAGCTGGTCTGCACAGGTCAACCTAAAGATGTCCATTGGTACCCGTTTGGAGGTGCCCAGCACCTGTTTGCCTGGTACCGCCCAGACCCGCCTGGCACCCGCCAAGGGGTGCCAGGTGAGGTACCTGGTGTCCATTTCTGAGCAAAACAAAGGCAGTACCAAGGTACCGCTAGAGGTACCCTCTTTACTGTGCAGTCACTAAGTAGGGGGATGACCATTGCCTTCTACTCAAAAAATGGGATGATAAAGGAAGGGGTGTTGGCCAAGTGGAAAGATGGTATTCAGACTGCTAAGAAGGGTAAATCAGATGGGAAAGGTAAAAGAAAGGTGATAGTATTAGAAGATTAGCTCAACACAATACTTGCATGTAGTGAGAAAAAAAACTGAACTGCAATTTCAAGTCATAAGAGTGCCATTTGCACCGGGGCTGTGGGTACTGCTGGTACCTGCCCAAAGTACCACTGGTACCTGCCAGGGGGTGCCAGGTGAGGTACCTTGTGTCCATTTCTGAGCAAAACAAAGGCGGTACCGGGGTACCACTAGAGGTACCCGGGTACCAATGGTCATCCTTAGGTCAACCTGACCGCATTCTCCACCCTTAAGGAGTGGCAATACAGTAGAAAATATTGATTACATTGGAGGCCAATGCAGGCTATGTATTCCATCCCAATCCAGTATTTTGATGTATTATACATCCCAATAACTGCACACAAAAATTGCTTCATGTGATGTAATCAGTTTGTGTGGGTCGTGAAACCCCTCAAACATGTGATTCACTTTTTGTTTGCTTGTGGCTTAAATTTGAATATCATGAAAGGTTTTGGCACCACACAACCTGATGAGTGACTCACCAAGAAAAAAAAATGGCAAATGACAGGTGACATCTGGCAAGCTCAGTATACTACCCATCATTATGATGTATCCAGGTCAAATCTGTTGCAGTCCCCTGAAGGCTGTAGCACACAGAGGGACCACTGAGGTTGGATCTCAGTAGAACTAAGTACAACAGTGAACAATTTTATTTGGTGTCATCTACATAGTGTGAGCATAACTGTTTTATGTTGACTGCAGATTGAATGTCTTGTATGTAGGGCTTGCAGGACGGCACAACTCAAATGGATAACATGAATCAAATTTGCATGTGGCAAATACAGTCTACAGAAGAATCATCCAATCTTTTATTGTATCTCTCCAATTGGTATGATACCAATTCATTTGTGGGGTTCACATTATATAGGATTTTTGGCTTCTGACCCCACTTGAAATTCCTCCTGGCCACTCACAAATTGGGGAATTTCACGGCCAAAGGGGTCCACAGTAAGGGTTGGCCAGAGGTAACCAATAATATAAGATTGATCTCCCTGACCAATTTCATCTGGGCCAGGCCGTGCAATACATTACCCCCTGTTTATGGTCACCTATCTTGACACCAGAATCTCAACTAAATTGTTGCTGAGGTGTTACCTGGACCCCAAAGAAACACTTCCCAAGATTCTTGCTTGGATTGAATGCATGCTAATGACATGAGGTGCAAAAAATATTGATGTAGCTTATTTCATATGTTTCTGAGGTTCACTAAACAGCTTGTACCCAGAATACTTGAATTGTAAATCTCACTATTTTCCAACTTGGAAATTGTGTGATAGTTGAGGTTGGAGCTCCTTGGCCAGAATTTGAGAAATTCTTCAATCTAGCCACACCCATTCATGATGATTTATAAAGGATTGATTCTCATGTCCACATACATTCTCTTTGCCTCTACTCTGTTTAATTATCAATCCTTCTCAATTTAAGATTGTCAAAGGAATATATTGGATGACTTCCTGTCGGCATTTACAACCCTGGCAGAATTTGATTTACACCATGAACATCTTAATTTTTGGCAAAAAAATCTTTCTTCAGAAGCCTTGTAGTGAAGGCCCTCTTGTGAGCTAGGTGTGGTTATGATTAGAGTGTTAATTTAGACCTGAGAGAGGTCTCAAAAACACTCTAAATCACGACGGGAAGTCCTCCATTATAGTACATGGTGCTTTCCAAAATATGGAAAGATATTCTCTTACATGTCTGGCTTCAAGGACCACCTCCACACCCCTTGCAGCTTCCTCCTGCAGAAAATTAAGGAAGAGCAGAAAGCAGCTTGAGAAGTCTTTTTTTTGCCTCCTCAAGGAGCGCTGGATAGAATAACACATGAAAACATATGGCAGATCAGGACTCCATGCACACACATAGTTTTTAGAGGATTGAAACTCCCATTTTCGATGCTCAAAGCCACTCACAAAGCGTACTCCTATGAGAATTTATCTTATGTAAATAAGTGTTGCCAATACTTCTCCTACCGGCTCCCTGCCTCGAAAATCTATGTGAATGTACAGGTGAGAGCTTCGACATGAATCAGCTCAATTATCTGTGGAGTCCCAGCTTTGCTTTTATCCAAGCGAGTTTCCCTGGTGAATAGGTTGCACTATCGACGGGCAAATCGCCTTGCTTCTCAGGTTCTCTTCTACTCCTGACTTACAGGCTCTTCGATCTTCTTCGATTCGTTCATGATTCATCCACACCACCCACGGTAGCTATGTCAAGTGGTGGATGAAAGAATTTACACGTTCAGTTGATGCCCATCGTTCAATTCTTGTGAATTCAATTTCGGCTATGAATTTTCTTATTAACCTTGTTGTCGTCGTCGTCCCCTGGTGTTTTTTACGTATTTGTTATTTATCTTCATATTTAGTTTGTTGTGAAGTTAGGTTTAAAACCTAAACCTACTCGCCAATTGAATCAACGATTTACAGAGCCATTTTCGATTTGTAGCGTACAATTGGCATACCATTTTCTCTGCACTCGAAGCCGCTACATTAGAGCGACGTGTCAGCGCGACGGTAGGCGACGGTCCATACTTTTAACCGTTTTCAGTCTAGTCGAGTGGTGGTGCTTCGATCCCATAGTAGCTCCAGCTCCTCTCCTCTTCGCAATCCCAATTTCCGATCGATTCTTGTTTCTCAGCTTTGAAGTATTTGATTGGTAGTCAGTTTATTCATCACCAGATTAACATTCATAGAGCTATCTCCCAACATCTAGAAATCCTTTATAGACTTTTTTCACAAACCCTTTGTTGTTTTGTCCTCTAGAAGTACCTACCTACTCAAAGCACCCACGTCGTCCAATTTGCCCGAAAAGAAAGCCAGACAGAAGACATCATCGATCAGCTCAACAGGAAGATGGCTACAACCGCTCTACCTACCTCCGATCGAGTCGGTTTGGTATCTAGACCCCCTGGAAAAGTTATCCATCTCACCTCCTCCCCATCCTCCTCGACCAGGTCCTCCTCACCCGACTCCTTAACCAACGAGAAGGATGGTATCGCAACCTTCGAATTACCAGAGTTTACTATCAAAGAGTTATTAGGCTCGATCCCTGCCCACTGCTTCGAAAGATCCCTCTTCAAAAGCTCACTCTATGTCCTCAGGGACTTAAGCTTCACACTCGCTCTGATCTACTTGGGTCGTCAGATCGATCCCAACTTCAACAGCGTCGACGGCCAACTCGTCAACGGCCGACCAGGTGCTATCTTGAATTTCCTTGCTTGGGCCTTTTATGGCTACTGGATGGGTTTGGTTTGGACCGGTTAGTCCTTCTTCTCTCCTTCTCCATCCACTGCACACATGAGACTGTTTGGCTTGATAATTTGCTGATCGATGCTTAATTTTATTTTTTTATTTTTTTGGCTGATTCGTTATATTCATGATTAAATGCATCTCTCGACGATCGCACCTTATTATAACGTCAACGATCGCTGTTTACCGTCCGTTGTGGCTTACAAACAAACAATAATTTTGACTGACTAATCCATTTGGTTTGATTCGATCATGGCTTATCCAACTATGACGTCCTCCTGAATCCTCGATCGGCATGACTGACTCCAGGTATCTGGGTCTTAGCGCATGAGTGTGGTCACCAGTCCTTCTCCCCCTCCAAATCGATCAACAACGCCGTCGGCTGGGTCTTGCACTCTGCCCTCTTGGTACCCTTCCACTCCTGGCGAATCACTCATGCCCAACACCATGCCGCAACCTGCCACATGAAGCGAGATCAGGCTTTTGTGCCTTACACTCGCTCCCAGCTTGGCCTTCCCCCACTAGCAGAAGGTTGCAGCAAGAAAGAGGTCGAAGGGTCTCATCCCCCTAGCTTGTAAGTCAATAGACCTACTTCCTATGCTTGGTTTGGGCGCCGGATATAAATGGCTGATTATCCCTCTCGGTGACGTTTCTTATGATTTTGGCGCTATCTAGTTACGAGAGAGTGGACGATTTACTCGAGGATGCTCCCCTCTGGGCTTTGTACAAGTTGATCATTCACCAATCCATTGGATTCGCTAGTTACTTGTTGATCAATGCGTCAGGCCAAAAGCACTATCCCCGTTGGTGGACAAATCGTGAGTGTCTTTATTCCTCTTCATATAAGCGCTTTCCCAACGTGCTTCTTTTCTGTGCACCTTCTTCTGCCCAGGCTGATGTCTGTTTATCCTTTATCTTTTGAATTATCCTCAAATCTAAGACTTCAACCCTTATGCTATCATGTTTGATGAGCGCCATCGATCCCAAGTTGTTTGGTCGGACCTTGGTATTGCTATCACTATTAGCTGCTTGACTTATCTTGGCAAACAGACCGATTTCTTGACGGTCTTCAAGTATTACATCGTGCCCTACCTCGTAGTTCATGTAAGCATTTTTAGCATTTTTCAAATTGTTTTACTCCAACCTGACTTGCCCATACATGTTCTTCGGGAATATCTAGCACTGGATTGTGTTGATCACTTTCTTGCAACACACCGACCCTTTACTACCTCATTATCGTGAGGGAGCTTTCAACTTTCAACGGGGTGCAATGTCCACCATGGACAGGTAGGCTCTTTCAGATTTCCTCCCCATTTTTCTGCTTACAGCTCTTGATCTCAATGATCTTGTTTTATCCAGAAACATTCATGGATTTTTCACCCATGGTTTGGCGGAAACCCATGTCGCCCATCACTTGTGCTCCAAAATCCCCCACTACAACGCCTGGGAAGCAACCGACGCATTGAAAGCCAAGTTAGGAGACCATTACTCTTCCACTGATGAGAATTTCTGGTACAGCCTTTGGAAATGCTTCCGACAATGTCGCGTAAGTGCAACAGTCTTTTGTGCTGTCAGGAAATTGAAGTTAACTGTTTGCCTTATCTTGGTTACAATCAGTTTGTTGAAGATGAAGGTGATGTGGTATTCTACAAGGATGCTAGAGGCAAAGCTGCCAGGCGATACGTACCGAGGAACACTGGTAGTAGTAGTGTCAGCGACTCGGGGGTTGATGTAGACGGGTCTATCAAAGAAAATTCACTATAGAGTTTCTTGAGACGCAGAAGCTTCCTTACTAAGATTATCATCAGTTCACTCCTTATATTAGTCCCTAGGTTGATTTATTACTAGAACCTTTTATTCAAATTAGATTAGATCTTGAAGCAAAACGTTAACCTGGGTCGGGGAAAATAAAACCCCTGCAGCGTTGCAAGTATCCGAACGAACACTATGCCTGCTGATTATCAGGCGGCTCGACCCTCACGCCTCTACCCTTTCGTTCATCTTGAAAACTCTCCAGCAGTTCCGCGTTCACCGTCCTTTCTTTTACCCGCGCTGGTCTTATTCCCTTATCTTTACATCATTGAAAAAATAAAAGTGTAGTGTCCCGTGATATTTGACTCGCAGGAGTATTGAAATGTGTATGCAGTTATGTCCCTTCGCTTCAATCTAACGGGTGTATAAATCGTATGGTAAGTGTCTTGAGTGCAACTTCCTCGGGCCATGTTGTGCTTGGGGATGGTCAATTAGTCCATTCACAGTGATTAAGGGAAAGGAGTAAGGCTCCGATCCGGGCCTCCGGGTCCCGATGCCGGGTACCCTATAGATCTGTGAGCTCCATACAAAACCTTCCGGAACGGCCTGGGAGAGGCCAAAACACTTCCTTGATTTCTGTCGAAAAAAGAAAAATTGTAAAAGAAGTCCAACACCATGAAAAAATCCCACATTTCTGCCACAAAGGGCTGTTTTTGGCACATAAAATGATCCAATCGGATACCGGGTATCTCCTGGAAGTATCCGTGGCTCAACCCGACCCGTTACCCAATTGGGTAGCACCGGATCTTCGGGGTCCAGATTGGAACCTTTTTTAAGTGCAGTTTGATTTGACATTGCGCACTATGAGGTACCAACAAATATAAAACACGCTTTGAGCTAACTATAAAAGATGTCCCCGGGGACTACAAAAACTCTGACACAAGTGCAAACCAGCAAATACAGGCAGAAAAAGGATAAGAGAATAGAGAGAAAAAGGGGGAAAAACAAACATGTACATACATTGGTAAAAGTTTATGCTTATCATTCAAGCCTGTGTGTTGTAAGAGGGCTGCAAAAGTATGTAATAGATTATCACATTTCTACTATCAACCTATTCAGTATTTGTGAAGACAAGGCAGTGGACTAAATCCTTGATGCTTGAAAGGAAGCCTTGGAGTTGGGAGAAGCAAAAAGAGCAGAGGTTTCATTTCCCTCATTAAAAAAAAGCACTGCATTGTGTTTATTTTCTAAATTTCGTCAAAAGTTGGGGGGGGGAGGTTACTTAACAACAAGTCCCTTGATCAGAGGGCCTGGTGCAAGGCTGGTGCAAAGCGCAGCAAGCCGCTGAAGGAGCTAGCTTAACAAAGCCTCTCCTGGGCCTCCCCACGGGATGCTCTCTGTAGGAGAGGCTTATAAATCAATTCAAACATTTGGCTGGGACAGGAAGGATTTTCAAGCCTAAATCCACAAGATAATTTTTTTAAACAAACCACTTGATTTGAAGAAAAACTGAATAGAAAGTTTCTTGTGCTATCTTGGCAAGCAACAGTGGTCAAAAATTTGAAGGGGGAAAACCCTAAATGAATGAAGAAATGCATTTGAAGGGATGTGAGAATCAAGAATTATCAAACTTAGCTCAGAGCAATGGAGATTCCTCTGAGAGAGTTTGCAAAGATTTGCCAAGTCTGAAATTCTATTTTCTGAATGTTGTTGAAGCTCTCATTTGTCAAGGGTGCTGAGAGTGCAACTCATAGTCAAAATCTTGCTTGTTGAATCTGTAAGGTGGCAGGCCACAAAATCCTTGGCAGATTGCCTTGCCAATCTTTCTTTGTGGATCTGTGTTTGGAGTTTTGAAGGAGAATGCTTTTTTATTATTTTCAAAAATTTATGGAGGGAGAACCATTATAAATGAGTGGATGAGACCACATCCAAATGAAAGCTCACCCACAAAATATGAATCTGGCTCTGGGGAAGGGTTGTGGAACATTGGGACAAGGAGTGAGAAGCTTAACAAAATCCACTCCAGCCATTCATGCTTCCTGTCCCAGCCAAAATCTTAATGTAATATGCAAGTCCCTTTGCGCACAGAAAAACTTACTACAGGAAAGGGACTTGTGATAACTTAGCTAAAGGAGGTACTTGGAACTAAAACCCACATTTTGGCTTGGAAGCTGGGAGTTGTTAGTAGGGGCAATCACCCCCTCATCCCCCAAAAAATATCTTCAGCTGTTGGGACCAGGCAAAAGGTCTGAATAGTATCTAACTTTTTGTCTCACTGACAAGACCAGGGGCCCTCTACATTGGCCCCCACCTGCCTTTCTAAAAGGTCATTTTTCTATGAGGTTGATGAGGGACCTCAAGTTCCTTCATCAAAACCTCATTAGTCTTCTGTCATACTATGTGTATATAGATTTATGGACATAAAAACTCTGGACATGAGACATAACTAATTGTGTCTTTGTGTCTATCACTGAGCATTACCTGTGTGACAGGATGTGTCACCCATGATTCCTGTACAGAATGAACCAGAGGCTCCACAGACTAACTCATACTATGTGTTGTGCCTCCTTATATGTAATAATGCGGTTTCAAGCTGGAATCAAGTCCCCCACTTTCTATCCAAAGGATGGATAGGTGTTCATCAAAAATATTTTGAGAAAAAAATACTCAAGTGATATGCTCAGTCACTTGGAGCAATGGGCTCTTGTGTGAAAAAGATTGAAAAGCCACAAAAAGTACCAGCTTCCAGGCCAAATTTTTGACTTAACTCATAAGCCCCTCTTTCAGAGGCTTGCTCACAAGGTGCCCCTGGCACGCCGGGCTCCCTCCAAACCTCTGGTCAAGGGGAGATTATGTTAAGCTAGGGGGTGGGGGGGTGGGTAAAAAAAGGACAAGCCAGAAACAAGAAGCATGGCACCAAGATACAGGAAAAAAAAACTGATTAAATTCATGGGTTGGAAAACCAACTCCCAAAAGCAGTCAGTGGAATGGGATGGTCCTACTCCTGGAAGTTGATTTTTCAAAATCCACAGAAGGATTTGGGAATTGGTCCTCCAATTCAAAGTAGATCTCCTGAGGATGAGTACCAGCCATTGAGAGCTACACTCTTGATAACTGAAACACTCTATCAATGGCCAGCACCAGTCATCCAAAGTGCTACACTTTCTCAATGGCCACAAACAGACATCTGCAGATCTACTCTGAATTGGAGGGCAGGCTGCCAAATCCTATCATGCATTTAGAATAATGACTTCCAGCATCTTTGACTAACAGTTGTTGGGAGCTGTTTTCTAGGGAACATGATTATTTTTTCAATTTTTCTAACCCCCCTTTTAAATCTGATAAATGAAAAATGCAAAAGTATTGGGAAAACAAATATACAGGGCAATTGTCCCTCTTGGCAAGCCATTATCCCGGCATCTACGGAAGCCCAGGTGGGACAGGTATCAAGCCACCGCTCAATTTTTGATTTTTGATTTTTGAGGCTTGATACAGCTGTACAGATCACCTGTACAACCATTAACTCCTCCGAAATCCTGCCCCAAAACATATAACAACAAGTGTACAATATAACACCTGTCATAATAACTCTCCCCATCCACAACCCACCGAAAATGCAACTCCTCACCCTAGACCAGTCAATCTGTGGGAGGTGGATCAAAGAGTCCGGGATTTTTTCTTTTATTCTCAAACCACTTATGTGTATGTAACAATGGATCATGGGGTTTGAGTTGCCCATACCCACAAGCTGGCCCGCCTCAAAAAATTATATTTTTTGACCACTTTCAAAAGTGCAAAGTGAGCAAGTACCGGCACTTCGGGCATCAGAACACCTTCTCAATGTCCACCCCACTCAACATGGTCCGCTGTATCAAGTGTAAGAAGTGGTCTGCTGGGCCCCATTTTGCCAACTGGTGCCGTCAATGTTTACTCTTCTTTGGCTTAGACCCTGACTCAGACCCATTATTTTTAGCATCTCAGTCAAACAGCCTTAATAGCATCCTACCCCCCAACCCACCACCCCCAGTCCCCCCTCAAAGCCAAGCTATTGGCTCCTCTGAAACCGTCGCAACCCATACCTCTGCCACTATTTCATTACGATCTTCTGCAGATGTTCCAGTGTGTGCCGGTGTGGTATACCTTAAGGGTAGCCATCTGGCCCATTTAAAAAATTTACAGTTTTTTTCTTTTATTACAAATTACATACTTTTTTACACCTTTTTTCTCATATATACACTCACAAATCACCCAATATGGCTCAAGAACTGGATTCTACTGTCAATTTCACCCTTGGTCACCACTTGAGGCGTCACTGGAGCCCAACTGGATTGGAAGCTACACTCTCTGGACCATCACCACACTCAATTACACAACTCACCACCATGACAACACTTCAACACTCAACACCAACAACAAATTACATCATTCACACTACACACATGCACGTTGCAGGACAACTACATACTCACATCATTATAGTACAGGTATACACACAACTACACTATCTTCTGACACTTGATATATGTAGCTTCTAGGCGGGTCCTGTTGCTATGTCACTTGTTAATCTTCCTTGCAGCTGTCAGACTATCTCACACCACTCATGTAATACTCATCACCTCACCTTAGCTTGCAGACTAGTACATCACCTCATGTAAAATGCTTCACCAGCATAAAACCCTCATGTAGACTTCTAGTTCAAGCTAAAATAACTCTTATGACATCATGTAGGTGGCTCAACCAGCCAAAATACCTCATGTACATGTTCTGACTAGCTAAATCCCCTCATTGTAAAGCTCTGGCCAGCTAAAATCTCTCATTCTCTTGTTCCCCTGAAGCTAAAATCCCTCACCTTTGTGTATTTAAGAGGCTCTCCTCTCAGTTGTTTTCCCCTCAGTTTAGTATCCACCTATTTCATACCCCCTACCCTTACAAACCCTTACATACCATTACATACCATCCCCTTACCATTGAAATATCAGCTAGACTCACTCTCTCACTCTCAAATCAACCCTTTAGACCCTTATAAAACTGGGTTAAACCCTTTATCCACCTGTTAAGCCACAGTTATCTTTTGATACACTCCACTATCACTTTATTAAACCTTCCAATCTGAGATTGGTGGGCTTGTCTAGTGTCTAGTGATCCAGGAAAGGCAGAGGTATCCTCATTCATCCCTTTCCACACTCAGCAAAAGGTTTTTCACAAACACTTTTGAGCTTTACACCGGCACCAAAGCACACTTTCAAGCTGTTGGAAAGTCCAAGCAACACAAAACTCCACTCCCTTCAGCTTCTCCTTATTCGAAAAGCAAGGAAGTTAAAAGTTCAGCCTCCACGGACGATTCCAACAAGAAGATATTCATCAACACTGGTGCACTTGTGTTGCGTGATGAGAATTTCAAGAAGCTGGCAGCAAAGTACTCTCATGACATCGACATCACTAATCCGAACCTCTACTCACAGCTCAAGCAAGAACTCTGGGATTTGTTTTCTTCGGAATTGATTCAAAAATCAATGATTACTACCCCTCCTCCAGCTAGCCCACTCGATCAAATCACTTTAAGCCATGGTGAAAGCCGCCTTCCCAATCTCCGTACCTTACTCGCCTATATTTCAAACGCCAAGAAAAAACCCATCCCTATCGATATCATTTATGAAGAGCCTAGTGAAATCAACACCGACATTTCTACCCGGATGTCAAGGTCTTCAAACACTCAGCTCTCTTCTCAAGCTACCTCACAGTCAACTAGCCACCGTTCACTTCAAGATTCCACCTGCCAACCAGTCACTCGCCAACCATCCACTCGCCAACTAGCAACTCGCCAGCCTGCCAACCACCAAACCTTGACCCATGAATCCGAGCAGTCAATGATCAATCATAACCTTTTCAGTACTGTCCGCCGAAACCCTGCTGGCCATAGTCAAAATTACGGTTTCAATAATGATACATGGGCCCATGGTCCAATTGCTGGTAAGTGTTTAATATTCATTCATCCCCTACCATTTACAACCCTTTATTGATTGTTGTTTGGTATGTAGCTACAGTTCCACGTCGGGGTGTTGCCAGTCTTGATACCCAGATTGCACACCTAGGACAGCCATTGGGCAGATGTCTTATAACCATCAATCCTGACGGATGGATTGTTGCACAGCGCCTGACGTTCAAGAACAATGACTACAGCTCTATACAACTTCGTTCAGCAAATGCGCCTCCATCGGAACTCATTGCTACTAGTACTCCAATTACCATGTGTATTGATAAGAGCTCTCCCATTGGCCGTGGAAGCATGCGAGTTGCTTATCCGGTTAAGATCAAAACCAACATTGATGGCGATGGGAACTTCAGTATCACAAACTTTGTTGCAAAAGAGCGATTCATTGATCCACACCCTTCAATTTCCAATCATGCAACTGATTCTTGGATGTATCAAGCTTGTGGGCTCCTTCTTCAAGAATTCAAAAACGTTATTTCAATCAATACGGATCCAAATCTATCCCCTCAAATACGCCAAAAAGCTGCTGCCTTCAATGTGAGTAGTCCTTGATCTTATCACATGATATTGCTTTGCGTGGCATCAAGACTAACTATTCCATTATTCTGCCTCCTTCTCAGATGGTTCGTCACTGTGTTGTAGTGACTGGAAACAAAGACATTCCATCCGAAATCTATTTTATAGAAGCGGTTCTTCGGGGACACTATGTGAAATACTCGAGTAATGTCAACTTTGCCATCACGAGGAACCAGACTGGGATGGATATTGAAAATTTGGAAATTATGAATGCGTTCACTCATTGGTCCTATCAACGGTGCAACCATTACGAGACACGTACTTGTAATGGCCCGTATTGTACTTTCAAAGTTTGCAATTCCACGGAATCGTATCGTACTCATTCTTGAGTACGATACGATGTATCTTTACATAAGCGTACTTCCCCAATAATACGATACACCGTACTCGTGAGATTATGTACTTGGGAAAAGTACAATACGTGACTGATACAGATACGTAACTAGCTGTAATTCCATGTACTCAGAACATCTGACATTCAGCACTCCTACGGGTACGTACATGTCATGACTTGGAGTTTGTTTGTGATTCACACCCTGTTTATAACTCATTATCCACCATCAAGAACCAGAACCCCCAAAACAACTTGCAAGATCAAATTACACCAAATTCAGGACAGAAACCCCAGAAATCTCACCTCTCAAACTTAGAAAATCAATCCTCAAAACCTACCTGTAAAACCTTAAAAATCCTCCCCTCAAACCCTGTTCATCACTCCTCTCAAACCTTATTACTCACCCCTTTCTACCTCTCTCTACCCCTCACAGTGCCAACAGGACCCCCAGGAGCCCCTCTTGAACCCCCAGGAGGCCGGATCCCTGTTTTTTGTGTTAGGATTGTTATCGGGCCTTCGGAACCGGGCCGGGACCCTTGGATTCCACTCGGAACGGTCGGGTAGGACCCCAGCCGGTCCCTACACCCCTTCAACGGCCTTGGGTCGGTCGTTGTCGGACGACCGTTCACTTGGATTCTCCTGTGTGTACGTCAATGGCCGACAAAGTCGGCCATTGTTCTTCTGTGTCTTATTTAGGGCTGTCGGCCACTACCATCAACAATGGTGGTGGCCGACAGGCAAGAGGGAGTCATACTGACCCCCCCTTGCATTCTTTCAAATGATATAGGGTAGCTAAAGCGAACCGATTGCGATCGGGTGGATCGCTTGTCACCTGTGTGTACGTCAGCAGCCGACGAAGTCGGCCGTTGTTCTGATCTATCTGTGTTTTTTTCAGGCCTGTCGGTCACTACCATCAACTAGGCAAGAGGGAGTCATACTGACCCCCCCCCTTACATTCTTTCAAATGCTGTAGGGTAGCTAAAGCGAACCAATTGCAATCGGCTGGATCGCTTGTCACCTGTGTGTACGTCAACGGCCGACGAAGTCGGCCGTTGTTCTTCTCCATCTGTGTTTTATTCAAGCCTGTCGGCCACTACCATCAACAATGGTAGTGGCCGACAGGCAAGAGGGAGTCATACTGACCCCCCCTCGCATTCTTTCTATTGCAGCCTAGGGTAGCTAAAGCGAACCGATTGCGATTGGCTGGACCGCTTGTCACCTGTGTGTAAGTCAACGGCCGACAAATTCGGCCGTTGTTCTTCTCCATCTGTGTTTTATTCAAGCCTGTCGGCCACTACCATCAATGATGGTAGTGGCCGACAGGCAAGAGGCCCCCCCTCACATTCTTTCTATTGCAGCGTAGGGTAGCTAAGCAAACCGATTGCGATCAGCTGGACCGCTTGTCACCTGTGTGTAAGTCTTCTACTTTATCTTATTCAGGCCTGTGGCCAACAGGCAAGAGGGAGGCCATACTGACCCCCCCTTCAACTCTTTAGATAACAGGGTACCAGGCAACCCGTTTTTGTTCATTCAGATTCTGGAAACACTCCTTGTAATCAACTGGACCATTGTCCAACAACCCTAGCCCCCTAGCCCCCCCGGGGCTCCATCAAGCGCAAAACCCACCTACAGACCCCCAACACAAGAGCAACCCAAGAAACGCCCTAGAGCCCCCCAGGCCCGCTCTGAGTGCCCCAGTGACGCTCTAGAGTCCCCCAGACACGCGCCAAGCGCGCAGAAAACCCCTGAGGCACTACTACAGGCCCCATACGTACTCTGAGCACCGCAACAACACCCTAGAGCCACCCTCTGCGCCCTGAACTAGCAGATTCAATGGCTCGTTCCCGTCATATTCTTTTCTCAGCCTCAGCCTCTCCTCTCCCTCTTTCTGGTACCCTTCCGTCTCAGCTTCCATCTCGTCAATCTACCCGGGTTGTGACTCCTGTAAAATCTCATTCAAACTACATTTGCCCCAATGATGATGCTCGTCGATCCCTTCAAAAACGAAAGCAAAATGTTGGTCGGGCAAATGTGGGACAATCTTCGTCTCAGTTGCAGAGTCAGAACACCCCAAAAAGAAAGAAACACCAACAACTTTCATGCTCATCAACATCCACTGATGGTGTGCCAACCACCACCACAAAATCTCGCAAGAGGACTTACAAAAAACGTCACCGTTCCCCCACCACTGACACTGAGGCCGATGAGGGCATCCGCTTCATGGATCTTGCTCAAGACTCCGACGAGGAAAACACAAAAATAAAAAAAACACGAGGAAAGAAAGTGTGTAATTTTGACAGCATTGAGGAATTCTTCAATCCTCCACAATATGGAAAGGATCAAGTAAGATAATCTTCTGTCCTTTTGTCTGTTGATTGATAATCTGTCTGATTTTTTTTGCTTCTCAATTTTGCTTGCATAGACTACTGGAGTGAAGCTCTATTACAGTTGCAAATGGTGCACTGGGCTGTTCAAGAGTGGCGAGCAGAGCAAATCAAACCTCACCAAGCACCGTGATGGTGATGCAAGTCGGAATCCTTGCTCAGGAAGAACAGACGCCATCAGAAACAGAGCTCAGTTACCAGTTACCTTCAAAGAACAAAACATTGAAAAGCGGCAAGGACAGACCTTAGAAAAGTATGTGGCCAGTGCTACTTTTGACAACCACGTTTTGAATCAGATCCTTGTCATGTGGCTTGTACTCTCGGCACTCCCTTGGACCCGTATTGAGGACAAACTGCTTTGGATCTCCTTCAACTATGCTTGACCGGGGATCAAATTATATTCACGTACATATGCTGCCTTGGAAGCTCGTAAGCTGTATGTGAACCTGCGGGATACAGTAATTTCTCATTTAAAGGTATTTTTCACTGTAAATTTAACCGGTTTGATTCATTCAATCAGGTAATTGATTTCATTCCCCATTCTTCTTTGCCACAGAATCTCCCATCCAAAATAACTCTCATCCACGATGTTTGGACGACAAAAGGCAACCACCACACATTCATGGGGATAGCCGCTGCTTATGTATCAGAGGATTGGGAATTCAAGATATGTCACCTAGGTTTGAAATACATTTCCTGGACGCACAAAGGGAAGTATTTGGCAGTTCCCTTTGCAAACATCATTACAAATTCAGACCTTCATGAAAAGATAAGTATTCATTTCATTTATCATTTTTTTTATTCCATGGATTGAATCTCTCACTAAAACCTCCCATTAAAAACACATCTTGGCTCAGACAACAGACTCAGGCTCAAACAACCGCACAATGACTGCCGAGGTCAATCGCCTGATCACCAAGAAAAAATCTTTCGACCCTGACCTGCTTGAAAATCACATCCGATGTGTTTGCCACAAGATTGCCTTAATCCTTACTGCTGGTTTCAAGGTCCTTAATACGGAGAGTAAAGGCTTGAGGAAGTCAAAAGAGACATTGGGCTTTCTTCCGCTCCTAGATTCGATTCCCGAGGATGAAACCGACGGCAACGATTCTGGTGCTTTCGCTTCTGGTGAAGAAGAGATTGGTGATTCGGACGACAATGAAAACTCTGACAACGAAATTAATTTAAACAATAATGGGGAACTCGCTCCATCTCTGGCAAACCCTGACTCCATATCAGGAATACTGACAAAGGTTGATTTTGTCATCCAACGTATTACATCTTCTTCTTCAAAACTATCCAAGTATGACGTGTGGCAAACCAAGCTTGAAGACCAAGGGCCAACTCTCATTGCTGGCTACGGGATTTGATGGAACATCAAATGGGAAAGCCAAGACCGTGCCTACAAGGGCCGCAACATAATCAGCCGACTCATTGAAAATGAGAAAGACCGGCAAGAAAGAGATGGTGGAAAGAATTTCTTTCATGATCATGAGCAACAGTGGGCCAGTTACACTAACTGTAGTGTTAGTGCAGCGTAGTGTTAGCTTTTTAAGCTACGCTACACAAAAGTTACCGTTAGCGGGAATTTTTGGCCCACTAACACTACAGGATTGTTGAAAAAAAAAAAAAAACTTTAGCGTAGTGTTAGTGAAGAAATTATGACCGAAGAAGGAAAATTTTTGAAGGAGAGAATTTTTGGGCAACAAGATTGAATTTTGTTGGAACGGCTCAAAGGGTCGCAAAATGAAGGAGAGAACCGATGATGTTTTACTTAGAGGAGACTAGGCGTTAAGTAGTCTACATACAAGAGGTTAAACATGTGGGTGAGAGTAAAATGAATAAAGAAATGAATAAAAATTTAACACATGCATGAAAAGATGACAGGAGCAAATACTCAATGATAAAGACTAGACCCAGGTTCGAAGACTACAGGGATTGCAGCACTAGACAATGAGAAAAGGTGCCACTCAGAAACTTACAAGACATGATAAAATTAATAATTTTTTCATCTAAACATTATTAAATCAGAAAGGGGAGATAGATAGATTTTTTAGGGATGAGGAGATGGAGACAAAATTCCAACAGTTAGCTACCTTTAAAAAGGCACAACTAACACTACCCAAAATCCTGTTAGTGAATTTTTAGCGGTGTTAGTGGGTGATCCCACTACACTACATGTTAGTGTAACTTTTTGCAAAGTTACACTAACAGTTAGCGTAGTGGTACCCTCAGTTACACTAACTGTTAGCGTAACTGGTGAAAAAGTTACACTAACTGTTAGCGTAACTGATTAAAAGTTACATGACCACATGACTAGCATTAGTCTACCCTGAAGACAGTGCCTGATTGGGGGGCCTACATCCAGATCCCCTTAATTGATCATGATTTTTTTAGTTAGTAATGTGGGCACTCAATTTTAGCCCCCTGCCAATTTTTAACACTTACTTGTAAGTCCACATTCCCCTGTCAGACTACCTTGAGATTATGGGTTCAATTCCCCCTCAGATCATACTTTACTGGGTTCCATTCCCACACTTGTTCAATTTCCACTTTCACATCATGTAGCAAGGGGGGAGGGGGGGGGGGTTGAGGTGTAACCATGATGTATCACCAGAGTGTGTTGGAGCTGTTGGCATGAACCATGGCAACTACCACCCAAAAAACCTTACAACCACAAGGGTCTGTAGCAAATCTCACCAGGAACATCCTCCGTTTGTTTGTCTCTACATCTTATGCTGTTCATTTTCTGCAGGATTGTGTGTGATCATAGGACATTGAAAATAATCACTATGGACCTCGGCCGTATCAGTTATAGGGACAGTTCACACAACTTGTCCATTGAAAATAGAAAGCAGAGGAAGAGGGTTCAAGAGCATAAATTCTCACTTGACATGTCAATTTCTCTAATTGATGATTTACACTACACTACATGTGTAGTGTAACTTCTACCGTAGCGTAGCGTAACTAGGCATGTAGTGTAGTGTAGCGTATCGTAGCTTAATTTGGTAAAAGTTACACTAAATGTTAGCTTTAAATCAGTTACACTATCTGACAGTCAAAATTTTGTTAGCGCAAAAAAAGTTACACTAACTGTTAGTTTAGCTGAGATTATTTGAAGCTAACACTACCAAAAAATTTGAGAGAAAAATTTACACTACACTAACAGTTAGCGTAGTGGGGTTTAGCGTCAGCTAACACTACAGAATTTCCAGGAAATAAAAAGGCCACTACACTAACAGTTAGTGGTCAAATAGCGTAGTGTAGCGTAGCGGCCCACTGTTGTCATGAGATATCACGGGGTGACTGGGAGGTTGTGAAGTGACTTAATGACATACTGAGTGTAAATATGAGTTTCATTTTCATGAAGATGTGTGTTTTTCATGACTATTTTTACTAACTGATTCCTTTCACAGGAGTTTTACTTCATAACCAAAAAAATGGAAGGCGACCATTCTTCCGCAGGCCTTCTCCTGGTCAAATATTTCTTCATAAAGGATTTTCTCAAGAAACGAATCAACAATGTGGCCAAACCAGAATTTAAAGCAATGTTACGGAAGATGATTGAAAAAACCGAGACCTACCTACATGAGGCGTTGGTGTGTGATTTGGTCATCCTGGCCACAATTCTGAACCCCTCCTTTCGGCTTTCCATATTCCAAGCCTGCTTTTCTTCCCACTATGACTATGCCAAAGCTTTGCTTCAAAAACAATACACCAACCGAAAAGACGAACTTGTTTCCAACATCAATTTAGAAGAACCTTCCCCCCCAGTTACCTCTCAAACACAACCAACTGACCATCATCAACCCATAGACAGCATGGTATTATTCCCGGAATCCATTGAAGCTTCAGTTTCCGATGAGCTGGCCATTTACCTTGGGGGGAAGTACAGATCTCTCCCTGCACAGGCAGGTCAATGCCTCCAATGTTGGAAAGTAATTGAAACAAAAATATTCTCAACAATTAACATATCATGCATGGTTCTAAGGCTGATTCAACTGTTATTTAATTTAAATCAGGAACACCACAACAAATTTCCAGTCTTGGCATCCTTGGCCAAGGATTACTTGGCCTGTTCAGCAACCTCGGCTAGTGTAGAGCAATGCTTCTCTGCTGCTGCTGACGTTTGCGGACCCGACCGAGGAAGATTATCCATCCAAACTATTGAGAGATCAGTGAGCTCTCATCAGTGGTTAAAGCAGGGATTCAAAGCCAATGATGAATTTCAAACTGCCCAAGATATTGTTTCTCAGGATTTGATGGAGGAGGAAGAGAGTAAAACTAAATGTGCTACTGCTTAACACACCGTGGTTCTTCATTTTTCTGTTATTTTCATCTATCTAGCATCTAGAAATCCCATTATCACACCTCTTCCTCCAGTTGGGGTTATTCATGTTTCTTGTTGCATGTATGTTAGAAAAAAAAATCAATTTTTTTTATAAATGCAATTTGGAGCAGTGGGGAGAAAATACATTGAGTACGCTGAGTACCGTACTCGTATTGTCCCAAATTCTGAGACGATACGGGCGTATTTTAAATTGTGTACTCGCTGGCCGAGTACAATGTACTCGTATCGTACTTGTTGAGTAGGGTGATACGACGTACTCGAGTACACACATACTCAAAACAAAGTACAGTACAATGTAATGCGAGTACGATACGTGTATCGTAATGGTTGCACCGTTGATATAAGATCAAGCGTAAGACAGAAAACTGAATTTGCGGACTAGGAAAAAAGATGTAGAATCTAAGCCAGTTTCAAGAGAAAATCAGTAAAGAGAAACAAAACATGAAGAGGTAGATGTTTTCTTGCCAGATTGAGAAGAGCTTCTTGAACAAGAGTTAAAAGACAAGAATGGTTTTTTTAGAAGAGAAGGATTACAGATCTTTTGGGAAGGAAGGTGGAAGGGACAGAGTATTTATAAGCAGATGATTTTGTTGTTGGTTGAGGGAAGGAAAGAATCAGAAGAGGGGTGGATTAGCTGGTTTTGTGATCAGGTGAACCGGGATAAAACAGGACTGGTAGGCTAGTAGAGATTAGGCTTCAGGTGATGATGAATGGAGTTTGAGGTAGTTTGTTGGCATTCCCCAGTAACAGTCCAAGTGTTGCAGATAATAGTTCACAAATTATTTCAACACACACCTATTTCACAATTTTGTGTGTGCTGAAGTGAGGCACCTATACTTTGGTGCACGTCTGGGGATGGTCCCATTAACCCTACCTTCTTCAGAAGGCAGACAGTTTGTCTCAAAAGAGAGATGAAAACAAAAACAAAACAAAAAAACTCACCACCAACTTTGATGAATGCAGATGTTGCAAAATTCATACAAGAAGAGGTTAGGAATTGATCTGTTGAAGATGATATGAATCTTGTTAAGTAAAGCAAAGTATGTGAAGGATTCGAGTATGATAAAAGTGGTCAGTGGTGACTAGCGTTTAATTTAACAAGGAAATCCGGAATATCTGAAGTCAGATCTGGAGGATGTCTTACAAGTAAAAAGTTATGATGATATTGTAGTAGGAAAAAGATCATCAAAGCAGTCTTTTGGCAAGCTATGCTGGCTCTAAGGCTGACAACTTGTCTGTGGTTGGTATTCTGGAGGCTGGCTCCTGAATCTCAATCAAAGACCTGGCTTGAACAGGTTGGTTTTTGTTTTTGTTTTGGGGGCCAACCTGAATTCAAGAACTGCTGCCCAAACATGAACCAGACATTAGAATGGAAATGAAAGTGGGTTGGGTTGCTTACAATTTTCTTCACAAAAAGATGAGCCAAAGGGTTGCAGGTCATGCAACTCCCTTCCATCCTGAGTTGAGATATCTGCTGAACTAGGTGGGGAGCAGGGGACCATGGTTTGAAGTAATGAGTTGAGAAACTTGCTTATGTAAGTTTTTTGATTTGTTGACCCATGAGATTGGGGTGGATTCTGTCTATCAACCAAGCTTCATTCACTTCCTGCTTGTGTATTGCAGTTCAACCATGCCTCAATTCCTGCCTATAACTAGAATGTAGATTGCTCTCTCACCACGCATTGCCGGCACAGTGGTCAACTCACCCCACTTCCAGAGCCCATTGCGTTTCATAGTTGCTGTCTCAACTATTCCTTGGATCAAGTCTTGTTGGAATCAGTTCAGCCATGCATATTCTGGCCACCCGGTGGATTCTGTCTATCAACCAAGCTTCATTCACTTCCTGCTTGTGTATTGCAGTTCAACCATGCCTCAATTCCTGCCTATAACTAGAATGTAGATTGCTCTCTCACCACGCATTGCCGGCACAGTGGTCAACTCACCCCACTTCCAGAGCCCATTGCGTTTCATAGTTGCTGTCTCAACTAGTCCTTGGATCAAGTCTTGTTGGAATCAGTTCAGCCATGCATATTCTGGCCACCCTGGTCAGCCTGGGCCTTGTTTGTACCCTCTTTACTGGCCCGGCACTTTCCTATGAGTGTTCTGCTCCCAATATTGAAGCCAGGATATGTCCAGAGTGTGAACACCGTGGCCAAAGACTCAATACTTTGGGCACAATTATGCCAGAGCCCAAAGACTATAGGTTCACTTGTGGTACATTGCGTGGAAAACCATATGATTGTGACAAGCTAATCACAGCCAAAGTGTATCACTGCAACACCTGCAACCACTGGGCAATCTTCCTGAAAGGACGCTGCACTGAGGCTTTGCACAACTTGTCCCAGCCATACTTCCTACCAAATGAAGAGCTTCAGAGAGGCTCAGGTGGATAATAGGCTGGATAAATCCTACCCCACCAAGAAACTTGGGGATTCTCATGAGGGGAAACACACATGAAACACATGTCCCCCACAGGAATTTATTTGTTTTTATTTTTTTGTCATACCTGAGTGCAATTTTGATTGAGTTTTTTTTACATCTTTAATTCACACTTGTTAGAATTTGAAACCTTTATTCCCTTACCTAAACTGCCCAAATGCAAATTTTAAATTTAGCACATGGGTCAGTACAGGTTATTGACATTTGAAACTGTATATATCTCTTCTTCCTTCCAAAATCTGTGGGCCACTCAATTTAAATTCCACTTCAAAATTTGCTTGATGTACCCTGTGTTGGACTTCTAACTGATTTCATCTGTTTTTACTCATGACTCTTTCATCATACCTCACATTTTTTTTTTTCATCATCTTGATTTATTTATATCAATATACTCAGTGTAGACCTGTTTTGTATAATAAATCCCGGTTTGTAGTCAAGAACCACCCTAGGCAGTAGTAAACTTCTTATTCACACTCAAATTCCCTGCTAATCTTTTTCTAAGTACATTCATTGATGATTATTTTTTCTCTTGTTTGAATGATCAATCTCACAACCACCTTTTGATCAAGCTTGTACCTATAGTCAATTTAAAAACAGCTAGCCAGTTACAAGCAATATAAAACTGATTGGTTCCTAGCCTCTTTTTTCACCAAAACTGCACTGATCCAGTGCAACATTTTCTCTCTCATCATGGCCTCTCTATTTCTCCCAGTTTGTAAAAGTTCAACACAATAGATATGTAGACATGCTCAGGAGACATAAGACGTACCAGTAGTAGCTGACTAGAGTAGTAGTAAGAGAGAAAGTGTATGTATGTGTCCCAGAAATGCTGTAAATTTTCATGTAGAAATGAATCTGCTTGATGGGCTTGGAAGGGCTCAAGTGGCAAGGACCTCTTGAGACAAAAGACAACTACAGAGGTGGTGGATCCAAACTTCTATGAGCACCCCCAGAGCTACATCATAATAGAGCTTCCAATGTGACCAGTATCAGGACACCCAATGGCTCTATCACTTTGTGGGACACAGTAGACCTTCCGTGGCCTCACATACTGGAATCCATCCATGGATGCTAACTTAACTAAGTCCGCTCTGGTGGGAGGTTTGCTGGTGTGAAGCACTGGCTGGTGGCAAAGCCACCCCTCCCGCAGGGAGGGACTTATGACTAAAGCAGGGGTACTTGCCTGAGAGGATCTGGAAACCTCATCAAGTTACTGACCTTTAGCTCTCTCACTTTTTGAGCCAGACAAGTGTTTCTGCTGGGGAAGTTCATTGTTAGAACCTTAGCTTTGCTTCTACCAACTCAGGTTTGCAAGAAACGGTGTCAAACAATAAAGCAAAGAAGAAAGATGACTCACAAGTTTCTCATGCTCAAGCCTGCAGGCTCAAGTGGGGAAGGATGGATAAATTCTTGACTGCATTTGAAATCCACGTAAGATAAACATTTTGTTATTTCAACAAGCTGACAAGTTCTAAAATTTGACTCGATACACAAGAGCCAACTGGTGCTACTGCTAGCTGAGACAGACAGCTTGTAAACCACAGGCTGGAAAATTCAAAGAGTGATTTCCACCCTGTTTTGGTGAGTGGACTCAGGCGAGCACCCCCCCCCCCCCCCGCATAGTTTGTAAGTCCCTCCCTGCAGGAGGGCTAGCTTGCTCAGCCTCTCCGTCAAACGCACAAAGTGCGGGAGAGGCTTGTGACCAAAACGAACACACCCGCGTGTCGCTTTCGCGTTTTTAGGGTGTTTTTTGCGCAGAAAATTCTAATGTATCACTTTCTACACTTTTATAGGGGAAAAATCTGGGACAGCATGCCCCAGATGCTAAAGTCAATTTTAATCAAGGAATTATCCAGAAATATTTACAACTACATTCTAGAGGAACTTTGTAATTGTCAAAGTTTCTGCTCAGATTTGTGCTTTTTGCTTTATATGTAATAGCTTCTCAAGGCTCGGAACCCAACTTGGATTCTTTGATTTTTTCAATTTTTCATATTTTTCAAAAAAATCTTACTCATCTGAATTTCAGGAAAAATCCCTGAAATTTGCTGAGAAGATTGGCAACATGGTCAACTTTGACCGTGCTGGATCTGCCTGAAAAAAAAGTTAAATTACATGCATGGTGGGCAATCCAAATATTGCTACACCAAAACATGTCAATAGCGACGCGCGAGCTTGTGTGTATTTGTCACAAGTCCCTCCTTCGGAGGCTCGCTTCGCGAGTGGCGCCAGCCAGCCAAGGTCACCAGGCCCGCAGAAGCTTGGGACTTGTCTCAAGTTAGGCAGGAGGGGTGGCTTCGCCACCAGCCATACTTGAGCACCACCCAAATCCGACCTCCCGAACAGGGAGGACTGTCAAGTTAGCCATGGATGTCTCTTGCAGGCAGTGTGGGGATGATCAAGGGGGAACACTACTGCTGTTGTTGAGCAAGGCCTGCCAAAGCTTGGGCTTTCACACCCAAGAGAAGACATCCAAGCAAATTATTAGCCAATTGTTTTTATGAGTGTTCAATTATGATATATATTGTGAATAACCTATCAAAAAAAATAAAAAATAAAGGAAAAAAGAAAGGAAAACAACAATAACAAAGGCGAAGGGCAAGATGGAAAAAAACAAGCTAAGAATGTCTGACACCTGGAGACAAAAAAAAAGAGAAGCCGTAACAAAACAAAACCCGAAGATTGAAAAAAAAGATTTCAAAAGCATCTTGAAAAGAGAAGGAAGCAGGAGAGTGGATCAAGCGCATTTAACGTTTCTCCTGGGAGGGTTGCTTTTCTTTTTCCGAGTAGCAGGAGTAGATTTAGGAGCCGGAGTAGGTTTGCCTGCAGGAGCAGGAGGCGCAGACAACAGTTTATTAGAGATTTTGATGGTCGTCGGGTTCTTGAGGTTATTGATCTTAACGACAGGCTTCGAGGCAACGACTGAAGCTTTTCCGGTCTTGAAGTAGCCAGCAACTGATGGTTTGGGTTGCGCAGATTTGGCGGAGGTCGATTGGGGCGAGACTTTGAGGATGAGCTTTTTAGGCTTTGTAGCCGGGGCGGTGGTTGTCGTCCTTGCTTTGGAGGTAACCGGCGCTGACGCGGAGGGCTCGGGGACGACGGCGGATGATGATGCTGACGAGGAGGAGGGTTGTGAGGCGGCTGAGCCAGCACCGCGACGGAGCTTTTCCTCCTTCTTGCGCTCCCGCTCGAGCTTCTCCTGGGCCTTCTTGGTCTTGAGCTCCTCCTGGACCTTCCTCTCCTCGTCAACCAGCTGGATGAACTGGTCGACGTTGCCCTTCACCCAGACGTCGAAGGTCTCCTTCCAAATTCCACACGGAGAGGGGAACTCGTTGTTGAGGAAGATCGTGTGGATCGGCGCTGGCTTCTTGCTGCTGCTCGAGCTCTCCTCTTCCTCCTGCTCCTCGTCTCCCGAGACGCTTGAAGTCTTCGTGGGCGGCCTGATCACCTTGCTCAGCTCTTTCACCAGACGCTTCGTTCCAGGTACCTTCAGACTCGTCCCAGCCACGATCAAGAGGTCCGGTCGTCTCCCTCGCATCAGGTCTCGGCTCGTCACCGCGCCCACCTGGTCACCAGCGTTATGCTCCTCGCCGTACAAGACTACACCGGATTTCAAGAGACCAACACCTCTGGTTCGGAAGCCAGAGATCGCACGTGCGTTATCAAACGACTGGCATTGTGGGCATAGGATAGGCTCTCCTTCGGCAAGTTCGCCAATGTAATCCGACATCAGGACGGAATGTTTGCATGTCAGACATGAAAGGTTCTTGAGAGTCCCATGGAGAGGAATCACGCGAGGAAAGGGATCGACAGGTTTAGATCTCGTAGGACGAGGAGGGGCTGGGGCTTCAGCAGCCTCGGCTGCCGAAACAGCTCGAGTTCTTGGCTTCGATTTCGGTGTGTCGAGGGAGCTCGGCTTTTGGTCAGACGATGTGATCGTTGAGACCGTAGATAGTTGTGAAGAGCCAGGTTCATCGAGTTCACTTTGGGAGTTACTCGAATTACTAGGTTCTGACTCAGACCTTTGTGAAGGGGGAGGGGTCGAGCGAGGCGTAGGTGGCAGCTGAGCAGACCCATTTTCGTCGCGTTTTCGTTTGAGGTTTCGCTCTCGAGGGGTCGAAGGTGGGTCTGAACGACGAGAGCGACTAGTTTGGGATGAATGGCTTTGGATCTCGTCCTGCCCTGGGATCCCGTAAGTCAAGCCGACTTTCTCTTCCAATCCATCGATGTTTTGACTGTGTGAAAAAAAGAAGAAGAATGGTCAGATAACTGAAGTAGATTGAGTAACCGAATCAGGACTCACGTGTAGACCCGACTGAGTTTGCCATCATCATCCAGACGTTTTAAAAACTGATGGAAGGCAGTCGGCTGAGCGGCACCACACATCTTGTGGAGTTCGGCGAGCATTCCAAAGTGAAGGCTTAAAGTGTCGGGATCCTAGAGAGATAATGATAAGTTTCGGTGGCAAAGCGCAGGATGAGTGGTATAGGACTCACTTTCCAGGCGTTAACGTCGAATAGATCGCGGCCACTGGTCAGTTTGGCGTTGGGAAATCGGGCCTTGAGCGAGGCGAAGAGCCCAGTGGAAGAGCGAAAGTCGGGAATGTTTGCAGCGGTTGAGATGCCGGCACCTGGGAGAAATGAAAGATGGGAGGAATGGTTGGTCTCCAGTTCTCGACAAGAGGGTTGCGAGGAGAGAGATACATACCAACGACGACGGCGACTTTCTTTGCATTGAGAACGGCTTTGATGGCCCGTTGCAAGTCGGGTTCAGGGGAGTCGGAGACAGGCTTGACGAAGGATGGCAGGGGACCGAGTGCGGTTTGACGCGTCCCTGGGAGAACGACCAACTGGGTTGGTGGAGACATGATGGGGTTGGGTTGATGATGAGCTCCCTTACAAGATGGGATGGTTTTGTGTTTATTCTGGATGGGTTTTGAGTGATGGTGGGTTGGAGACAGAGAAGGGGAGGGGGTTTTATTGTGAGATTTGTTTTAAGTTTGTTGAGTGTGAGTCTGAGTGTTTATGGTGTTTTTGCCCAGCTGTTGTTGTTGTTTTGAGTCTGTGTTGTTGTTGTTTGAGCCTTACTCAGTCGAGAGTCCACCCCCTTAGCATTTTAAAGAGGAAAAAGATGAAAAGCTGAAGAGCGAGTGGGCTGGTTGGAAGGCTTGAGAGTCAGACTACAAGTGTATTACGTAATCCATCATTAAAAATTCATCCACTCTTTTCAAACCGATGGATACAGCCATAACCTCCGGGGGGGTCAACGACGCTCGGGGGGGGAAAAACTGATGGGAAGAAGCGCTTGAATGATTTGGCGTTGCTTGCCATCTTCATCTCAGAAGGAAAGCCCCAGCTGGCCATCGTCACTAGACCAGCGCGCGCTGTACGAAACCTCCTAAAATCCCACAAACTGCGGCCACCGGGACCTCTCCCTACGGATCATCAGTCGATTGATTGGTCACAGGGAGGCCGGCTGGACGGCAAGACTGGCAGGGTTAAATGATCAGAGAGCGCACATGGGACATACACACCCTCGAACAATCGACCACTTCCCCCCGTCGATTGGGTCCAACCCCTAGATGATAGAGAGACATTCCGTCGAGATAAAACCATATTATCCATCTTCACCCAGAGCTTTTTACGTCCCTCTCTTTGTCCATGAGCTCCAAAGCAACCGGCAGAGCCAAGTCAACACGCCTCCGAAGAAAGAGCCGGCTTATCTTGTGCTCGAAGCTTCAGGCTTTCGCTATCAAGGACCGCCTCAGGACCCTGGAAACCCCCGAACTATGTGGGTGACCAAAATGTATGAATTTTTTAGAAAAAAATGAAAATCATACGCACGAAAGTGGTATGAATGAGTTTGGTTGCCTTAAAGGTTACGCACCAAACAGCCTTTAAATGTATGAATATCCGCCAACTTGGCGGAAAACCTCCCAAAAATGGCCCGGTCCCCGGCTATTCGGGGGGATTTACTCACTTTCCGGGGGATTTTGGCCCAAGCATACGCACGAAATGTGTATGAATGGGCCCAAATGTGCCATTCCCCGGTGCCCCCCGATGTATGAATTTAGTGAAAATTCCGGGATTTTCGTCACCCACATTTATAGGGGGTTTCCAGGGTCCTACCGCCTCTAGTGCTGTACCTCGGAGCTACCCCCAAAGTCTGATAAGTTCCAGAAGTACTGTGCCTTCTAAAGATAGCTAATACATAATTCGACAGATTTTACCTACATGAAGCTGCGATCCGGGCCTCCGGATCCAGTTCTGTTGCACCCGCTATCCGACGCCGAGGTATCCGGTAGTCGTGCTGAAGTACCCGGCGGATCAAGGGCTCCATACTTGCCCTTGATCATGGGGGTGGCTCAACTGATCTTGGGGCACACAAATCAAAGACCTTGGACATGATTGGAAATCCATTATTTCTTCAGGTGTGCTGGATGATGGATCTGTGACTTGACCTGACCAACATAGTCGCTGTATCCAGTTGGACCAGTGACTGGACATTCACAAGCCAGATTACACCCTTATATTTACCAGCCTACAGGCCAGAAGTTGTTGCAGCCTTAAAAAGATTCCTTGGATGAATCTGTATGGTTCCATTCTTACCTGATCAAAAAGATCTGAAGAAATCCATTGATCAAGTGACTAACAAAAGATTACTCCACAAAAGGACTTGATCAGATGAACAAATGTGATACTATCCCCCTTTCAAGTGCAGTATGCCGCAAAGAAAAGCTTTTAGATCAGCCCAACATTTAGATAGCTTTTAAGGCAGAAAAGTGCAATGACCTCAAGAGTTTTTCATGAGTGACCTCAGCCTTGAGCAATAGAAACAGAAAAGCTGGAGATGTTTATTTCAACCCTATCAAGTCAGTATGTACAAATCTTACTGCAATAGTTGACAACAACACATGGGGAAGAAGGAGGCAGAATGCTGTTCCAGTGTGTATATATTCAATATGCAAAGGAAGAGATCAGATAATGTTATAGGAAACCAAGTACAATGCAAAGATTTTCCAAAGAAATTCAATGATGCTGATGTTAAGATGATGATTCCAGTATTGTAGTATTTCTATGCTTATAACTAGATATGCTTATACCAAGCATCCCACTACTACTTCTATGCCGGTCTCACTTAGTTCATCTCCTCACCAAATAACAACTCTACTATTCTCACCACCTTATTCCCATGGTGAGTTCAGACATCATTGCAAATATTCAGTCCCTGACATGTCCCTCTTAACAACTGGCACACTTATAATAATGGAAGAGTGTGGTTATATTTTGAATGTATCAGGGAAATCTCAAAGATAATTTACAGGCAATCAAAAATGATGATCAATTGAAAAGTACAAATGTTAATAATTTACTGGACATTCTGAAGAAGAAAATATCAGGATTAAGCATGCAGGATCTGAAGTGGCTGATTAAACAGCCTCTCAAGGGTAACTTGAGCTATTTCTTTGTCATTTTATGCAATCTTTTCCACATGATTGATTCATCTGACCCAGACTAGATTGAACTCTGTTTGCAATTGTTGTTGTTTTTTTCTGAAAGCTTCAATGTTTCAAATAATCATAATGGAAATGCATTTTCATCGAATAACCAATTTGTTTCTCCAAATATATTGATAAGATTTCAGTTACTTCATTGAGCTTTTATCTTGCATCTGGATGTGAGGGACTGTTTCTATGATTCCATTGAACGTATTTCACTTGTTGAATGTGACTTTTTAGACAATAGGAAAGCTTCTCAAACCAAGAGGTATTGGTTGATTTGTCTAAGATGTCCATTGTGGGAACAAGGTTTTCCCAAGTTCAATTGGCACCATCAATTATCTATCGATCCAATAGACCATGTACTTGAGGCATTGAGTACTGTGGGTTCGTTTGGCCCTTGTGGATGATCCGAAGATTGCGCATAGTACACATTGCAGGATTCACATTCTTAACAACCAAGGGTTTATCATGATCGGTGCCTGTCATCAAGGTTATCTGAAACGATGAAGAAGCGGCTGGGACTTTTGAGTGATTGCGATTGTGGGGTAGAATTCATGGCATAACAAGGATTTGTGGAATGAAAAATCTTTTTTTGAAGGTTTGGAAATTTTTTGTCACGAGTTTGAAACGGAAAACGGATCAGAAATAGGAAGGTGATGAGATGGGAATGCAAAAACAAATGTAGATCAAGTATTTGGATGACTTGGTCTTAGATGCTCGAGGATCACAAGAAGTAGGCTGGTGTTTTAGAGTCAATGGGGGTGTTATTTGGAGCTTGTTGTAGGACTAGAAATCACGGGGATCGGAGGGGAATTGAGTTGAGGACCTGATAGCAGCAGCAGTAGAAATGAGACGGATGAAAAATGAAATACAACTGCACATCTACGGAACATTTCTGGAAACTCTTTTTGGCTTAGCCTACCAGAATTGCAACACGTTCATGGCTTTATGTACTTTCATCGCTTGAAAGTTTGGTGTTGTCTATAGTGACAGTGGGCAATGAACGCGACATCCCCAAGAACAATATCTACGTCCTGCTTCGAGGTAAAACACGGTGAAAGAGTAGACCAAACAATCAAAACCGACGGAATAGCGTTTTCAAAATTCGGTCCGATTTATACGGCAACCAACGTTTGCTCATCCTTCACATTCGGAGAGAAGAGCTCGCTCGCTGACCTGAATTACGTTTCAGTTCACGTTGAGCAAGAGAACAGCCAAAATCAAAATCATGTCACCAAGACACTCTTGATCACCCGACAAAGAAAATAAGAAGCAGAGAATTTAAACGATGAAATTCAGAAAAACAGAAAAGCTGGAGCTCATACGAACGTAAGAGCCAAGTTTAACCTGAGTGCCAGGTGCTTTTTAGAGCCGCTTAAAAATATTGAACAGCTTATCAACTCGTTTGGACAAATCGCGTCGATAGTGCTCCTCGCAGTCACCGGTTTCGAGATGAAACATCAGATTACCGAGAGAATAATATTCGGATCTTCCACAACGCTCGGAAGGACATTCGTAAGCTTTCCAGCCGCGATTCTTGTGTTTGGGGCTCTTGAAATGGGCGATCAGTTGGCCTTGGTTTCCGAAAGATTTGGGGCAAAGACTGCATTGATAGCGACCATCATAATCGCAAGAGAGCTCCGCTCGGGCCGCAGGGAATATTCTGTCCCTGTCGACAAATTGTTGGTCTCTGTCGCAACGGCTGCTGAAAATCTCGTCAACGTCCTCGAGATCAAGATCAGATTGGCAGGTACCCGCTTCGAAGTGCTGGACCAGGGCTGCTTTACTGATGAAGCCACGCTCACAAGTTGGATGGGGGCACTTGACGTTCTTTGCTTGATGGATAGAAGACCTCTCATGCTGTGGATGGTTAAGAAATAACAGTCAGCGAAACTGTGGGTTGAAGAATTGAGTTGATATCTCGCATCTAGTCTAAATCTGCCTTACCATGTCCAAGTTGTTGGGGTTACTGAAAATTCTTCGGCATGGGGGACAGTATACATCGGAATGAGCTAACCGACAATGTTGATGGACCTCGTCCGCGTCTTCGCACCATTGACTACACTCCGAACATTGTTCATGATAGCGTTGATTGTGAATGCGAAGTTTTCCAACAGTGGTTTGGCACCATTTGCAGATCATATGCTGCTCGGAATGACGAAGGTGATTCTCCTTGGCGTTTTGAGATGTAAAGTCCCGCTGGCATGGTTCGCAATAGTGATGTCGAGGAGAATGGATCAGATGATCCTCGTAATGTTGGTACAGCCTAAAGTGACGTCCGCAAGGTTCGCATTCAACGCCAGACATGGTGAGAGCAGGCCTGCTATTCAAGCTTGAGTTGAAAAGGCGCAAGAAGGGGCAGGAACAGGTCAACACACTATGTTGTGGTTGGTTAGAAGTGGGGAGAGCTGGGGACTCGGGAGTCGGGAGGGCGAAGCTGGCTGCAGCACTCAAGTCAACTGTCAAGCTGACTTGAAGTCGTGTACCGGAAATATTGTTGATGTATGATGAGTCAAGCGCTAGAATTTACAAAGAATCTATTTTACGCACCGTATGTTGTATCTGATGCTATCTGATGGGTCCAAAGGATGGCTACTCAAATCTCATCGTCTTTATGTGCAAGAGAAGCCAGGCAGGCTCTCCTTGAATCTCCTTGAATACAAGATCGGGTCAGTGTCACACACCACTCGGTCACGGCACACAAGTCGCATCTTGGGTTTTGGAAACCTCACGATGAACAGGGCCTCCAACTCCAGGGTCTTTCAGATTGTAGTATTTATGTATCGGCCCTCGCGCCCATAAAGCACTGAGACCATGGACGCCACGGTCGATATGGCCATGTAGGCTCTCATTACATCTCAAGCTGGCGGTTTGCAAGAGGGAACGATGGGAGGACACGCTGACAATAGTTTAGAATCACATCAACCGTTTGTGTTTGACCCAGGCAATGGTACTGGTCATGAATCGCATCCACGTTTGTTGGGCCTGCAGCGCTTCACACCTCTAGCTTAACATGAGCCCCTCGATCGCTTCGTGAGGTCTTGAGATACACCTTCGATCTTTGTTAAGCTACCGCTGGTCCCCTAAATTCCCAGCTAATAATCGCAATGATGAACCCAGCAAAAGCTAGCAGGAGTCTGCAGGACTTCCGCACTCCTTCATCCTAACATCAAGACCGATACGGTAGCTCAATTCCGCCTGGTCCATTCCAGGGATAGAAAGCAAGGGGAGCAAGGGCGAAATGAAGGCGCACGATCTCAAGAGCGAAATCTGAGCCTAAGAACATCATCCCACCATTGGACTCCATGAACATCAATTGTCGCCCGTTGAAAAAGTCGGAGAGAGGTCAACCTCTGGCTCTGCCAGCCATTCAATTTTCAACACCCACATAAATACGTAGTACGTTCACATTAATTTATTCTGTTCTTGCCTATCTGCTTCACCTCGTTATTCCTTGGAAAGATAATAAAGCGAATCCGATTACGATTTCCTCAGAACGGGAATGCGAACTATTCTAGATCTTCCTAGGGAAACCTTGAAGCTCATTTGTGAGTATGTACCTCATTGCGACGCCTAAGCGACTTGTTTGAGACCTAAGCGACTTGTTTGAGACTGGTTTGTCGACAATGGGCGGAATGGTTATTGTATGAGCACCATCTGTAGTACTATCGTGGATTGAAATTTGGTAGCGCCGCCCGAACGGAAGCGGTTATCAAGGACATCCACAGCCGGCCATCCCTTCTTCCACGCGCTAGATGTCAACACTTGGCGATCGGCCGTCTCTGGTCTGTTGACCCTTCGCCTTTGTTCGGCACAACATGACATGTTCGATTCAGAGATCCTAGAATACTTGATCGGTCTATTCTCTTATACAATCGTCATGCTGCACCAGCTCAAATTTGTTGATTACTTCTCGCTCTATATTCAAGACATTCAAGACATAGGTCGGATCGAAAACTTGCGCGATCTTCATCTGGATATCTCGGCGACTCCCTCAGGGGAACAACATTTGCAGATATGTTACCAATCCGGTTATTTTTAGCGACTTGATGGTGGCAACTCGGGGATTGAAGTCGCTAAATTTGGACATTCATATTTCCCTCCCGGAGGTGCCTGACCCTGGTTTATGGATTAAAGACCGGCGATATCCGTCAATCACTCATCTACGCATGAACATGGTATGTAATGCAACGGCCAACAGACATGCTACGATTGGCGCTGGCATTCAAATCAAGTCTCACAATGCTTTCAATTGAAGATAAACGGCCGGGCTTCTCTGAAGAGTTTTTCGCTGCTTCCACTTGACTCAGTGTAGATTGCGATGCAATGTCCGATCAACACACTATCGGCCGTTGGGGTATGGAACCGTCATGCCTTCAGCCAGTTTATGGTAGCCTGAAAGAAATTTTAGAAGAGCTTCACGTTTCAAGCTCATTCATATTGAGAGACAGTCTTCACCTCAACTTCAGCAAACTGCGTGTTGTTGCAGTCTTACATATACTGGACCAATTCTATCACCGATTACCTCAGCCGAGATACATATATTCACGCAGGCTCCAATACATAGAAGTCTTGCCTATTGGTGCCCTAGCAGCTTTCAATGACTTCGAGCCCAAGTTCTTCAATAACCCGCTGGCCAATCTCCCAAATTTAAAAAGGCTTGTCATCATGGATGCCCAATCGGATTATTTGTGACCGACAAAGCTACTCAAAGCTTGTGAAGCTCTTCGTGTGGAATGCGTGTACATTGATCATCGTCTGTTACCTCTCATAATGGCCAGTTAGGATTTCTCACACCAATTTATATCTTGAACTCACTGGAATACCAATCAAAAAATGACACTAACATCTTGCGGTTTTGATCAAAGAAATTATAATTTTTGTTTACTGTCCTTGTTCAAAATAACAGCAAATTTGCTCAGTTGGGTTTTGGCCGCAACAGATTCTATAATTATGAGTCCATCAAATTCAAAACCCTTTGAAGGCTTTTTGGAGTAGAAAAGCAGAATTTAACACCCCCAATGTTTTTCAAAAATCTGCTTGCTTGTGACAGCATGGAGAAATTAATATTGTGAAATCAGTTGTACCTGTGAAACCAAATTAACCCTGATTCAGATTATGATGTCAAAGGAATATGGATGGCTTGCTATCTTTGCTTGAGAATTCAAGATACTAACATAAAATTAAGACTCTGCTGTAATGATCACCAAAGATTCAGATTAATAATTTGAAGGCAATTATTACATCAATAAATTAAAACTACGGGGCTTGCTTTTGTTGATGGCAGGTCAATTTTCTTACGTTGTTTTGGAAAGTACATTGGGAATATGTTAATTAGTGCCTTAGGGAGAGGATAGAAGAATTATTGATTTCAAGCCAGAAATATCAATGTGATATCTAGCTCACTAAACAGATTTTCACACACAATGATGACCCATTTCTGAGTTGACTCCTTGCACACAGCCAAGCCACAAACATATGTGCTAGGGGTACCATCAATATATGAGTGGTTACAATCTTGTTCCAGATGAAACCCCAACATACTTGTTTCTTTTTCATGTGGGAAATTGCTTGCTGATGATATTTTTCTGGATCAGAAACTCAACATCTGACCGACATCCAAGCAATCCTGATGTAGCAGTCAAAAAAATTCAAGATGGCTAGGTTTGCAATGAGTTGAACCAAGGCATTAGCATGTGCAGACAATCATTTTTGCTGCCTCAGTCATAGTATGACTGAGGCAGCAAAAATGATTGTCTTGGGTTCTGCCATGATGTGCCACCAAGTGATTCTCAAGAGGTGATGTGTCTTGTGACTCCCCTTAGCTGGGCTGACCCTACTCTTTCACAAGATGTCGTGTATGTAAATTGTGAAACCCCCCTCTTGTAGATGAGGGATGACTGATTATGCCTGTGTCATATTTAGGAAGGACCATCACTGGGGGTAAGGATGGTAATTGAGCCGGGTGTCCAACGGGCCACCCAAACCCAACCGGGGTTGGGCCAAGCTTGATGGATTTTTTAACTTAGGCCTGGCCCAAGATGGCCTGAATAAAAATTGGGTCTAGGCGGGCCGCCCGTCAGGCTGGTGCAGTTGGGTGCCCTGCTGGGGGTCTTGCCGCTTGGTCAGGTCTGATATGGAATTCTATGTTTTTCCCCAGCCAATGTGTCAGTTTTGGAAAGACCCGGTAAAGACCTGTGGGGCACCTGTGGGCTGCCTGGACAACCTCCTGAATTCTGGCCTGCAGGCAGCCAGACATCTAATCAGGTTTGGGCCCGGCTGTGTATTTCCTGAATCAGACCCGGTCCAACCTGGCCGCAACATTGCTGGCCCGCGGGCAGCCTGAACCCGCCCAATTACCATCCTTAACAGTTGGGGGTATCCCCACCCTGCAGGGCTGCTATGGCATCAAATTGTTTTCTGCCAAGGCAACCCACTTGTCCCACTTTATACAAAGATGGATCACTCTTGAAATGTCAATATTGAAAGTTCAAGATTATCACTGGAAAATGAGCTGGGAAAGGGAAATACACTTTGAGTTTTGAGTGATGGTTTTCACTGTGTGCAATGTGCATAGCATGACTGATGAAGGAAGAAATTGGAGGACTTCCTGTTGGTTTTACAGGCCTTATCAAGTTATATTTACAGGCTGTAGAGCTATTTTTTTGCTGGGAAAACAGTTCTACTGCAGCCTGTAAAAATAGCTTTACAGGGGGCTGTAAATTTGACTTGAAGTCCTCCATTAGATGTGTGGATCTGTAGCTTGTTACATTTTACAGGAAACCTGTACCATTTCCCAAGATTGCTTGGACTACCTGTGTCATTAGAATAGGAGGCTAGTTTGTCATAGGTGGGGAGCAAGACCTGACTGGATTAGCTCATCTCAAACTGTTATTCTGAGATACATGGACTCAAAAAAGAAGGGCACTGATCAAATGTGAATCCCCAGGATGATGGAAAACCAACACAATTTTTGGCTGCTGATGCTAGTCACACTGGTTGTTGATTCTGACAAATTCATGAAGCCTGAACCTAATTTTTTTGTGATCCACCAAAATTGCCCTGGTGATGCTTGTAAGCAGTTTCTCAGATATGAGTATTTTGATCCACCCCTAGTTGCTCACAGAACAACCGCTTGCGTTATAACCGATCGTGGACCGGGCCACCAATGCGAACTGAAATGATTTTTTTTTGTGTCTTCTTCCTCTTGAAGTGTTGCAAAGCAATATGGGATTGGTGTATTACGTACTGGAAAAAAGTGGACAATTTTGTGTGGGCTTGTGCCTGAAGTCTTCGAACAGAGCTCCGCGATTGGCCGTGCATTGTACTTCCTCTTAAACTCCGCGTGAAGTCCTTCGAAGAGAACTGTGCAACTTTAAATCTGCTTCAACCCCGAACATCCACAAGATTTGAATGTTTCGACTGCCCGCCAGCCATCGCCTTTCGTGGAAGTCTTGTCACTCAAACAAATTCTCAACAAGCATCCATCGTTAGCACCCTCACATCCTCCTACAACCTTGTCTGACTTCACGGCTGGAACTGACACTTGCATTCCTTAAATACCCCACAACCTTTTTAGTACCCGACGAAAGGATTTACCCCCGAAGAGTTGTCTCAACATCGGCCAAACTCTCCCCGGAGTTGAAAGATTGCAGATACCCAAGGAATCATCTAGCTCGAAGGTCCTTCTCCTCCTCCACTCCGACCGGACTCCCCGTTCTTAAAAAGCTACTCGACATTATGTCGCAACCTGAATCGAAGACCGTGCCCTTTGCACCAAGCTCGCCTACGCTTGGCAACTTCCTCGACCGAAACCACCAGTTCGCCTCGACCTGCGATCCGGAAGTCTTGGCTACTACCTGCAAGGGCCAGTCTCCATCTGTCTTTTGGCTCGGTTGCTCCGATTCGCGTGTGCCTGAGGGCGTCGTCATCCAGGCCGGCCTCGGCGAAGTCTTTGTTCATGTAAGCATTCTGTTGATTTTTTTTTTTGTTACCGGACCAAAGGGGTAAAAAAAAACAAAATGCAGCAGATCATCCCGGGCAGCATTCCTCAAAGATTGGTTTATGAATGCACTGTCTATCCTTTTCCATTGATAGCGAAACGTGGCGAACGTCTTCAACCCCGACGATACGTCTGCCACCGCTGCCTTAGCGTATGCTGTGAACCATCTGAAAGTGAGCCACGTGGTTGTGGTTGGACACGAGTCGTGTGGGGGCTGTGCGGCCGCACTTGCGGCAGCGACTGCCCAGAAGCCCGACGAGGAGTCTCTGCCGGCCACGCCAGTCGACAAGGGCGAGGCAGCGATCGCCAAATGGATCGCTCCGATCAAGAACCTGGCTTCCATCGAACTCAACAAACACGACCACCAATTCTCCCTCCCCAAACTCATCACCCTCAACGTCGAAAACCAAGTCAAGAATATCATCCACCATGAGATCATCCAAAAAGCATGGGCTAGAGGTCAATCTCTCGCTGTTCATGGCTGGGTTTACAATCTCTCCTCCGGCAAAGTCCAAGACCTTGGGCTTACCCAGTCCAATCCTTAGTTTCCACTCCTCTTCCCCCCCGTAATCATTATCCACATCGCATATGAGAATACGCTTTCTTGCCCCCTCCCGTTCTTGCTTTCAAGTCCTCTTATTGTTTGTCTCTTGCCGGTTGCTCATCTGTTGCCAATCAAGAATCTTTACACTCACAGAAAAAAAAGGTTATCACAAAGCTTGATGTTCGTGTATAAATCACAAGATATTTTGGTTCTCTGCTGTTTGGATATCTTTTGAGAACTCGGAAACACCAGAACCCACAAAAAAAAAGAGAATGTTTTGATATTTTTGGATTGTATGGAATCCTGCTAGGAAATGTAGAGTAGCTGATTGGGACTACATTCAAACAAACCAGCAAACTAAAATAAAAAATATTGGGCACAGCCATAGCATCACTCACATGTCCATGTGTTCTTACTTTCCATAGGGTTATGGTCCATGGACATGCAGCATCCTGATTTCTACCCTATTGAATTTAATCAATGGGAGGTAAGCCTCGAATCAGGAGACTCCTGATTTCAATTCTACCAAGATTTCACAACCTTTGGGAAACAAAATCAATCACCATTCACAACAAAATCACTACACTTCTAAAAATCCAAATAATTGATTCAAAAATGAATTCTATCTCTGAGCCCTTTCTTCTCTCTCTCTATATATATCTCTGTCTCTCCAACCCTCTCCCTGGACCTTTTCAAATGATAATGTTTGGTTTTTTATTCAAGAAACAAAAAAAGAACACGACAGTAGTTGATTTCAAAACATCGAAGAATTAAAAAAAGGTAAATTATAAGTGTAAATAAAGATAGAAAAAAAAAGAAAATGAAGAAAAAAGTACAAGCCCAAAATAAAGCAAGAAGCATGATAACTTTGATGGATCGAAGTCGGACCAACACAAACCACGGATATATATTATCTATGAAGAAACCAAGGTGTTAATCTCTTTCGTGATCAACGAGAGCAGGAAAATGGCTGGAAGCAGAAGGATCGAAGCCGTCGAGCTCGTTAGTTTCGACGACGATTTTGCGAGCAAAGTGGAGTGCGTCCTGGACCTGGCCGGTCATTTTCAAGCCGACGACCTGCAAGGCGAGTTCCATGAGCCGTTGGTCGGCCGTGCAGACGTATCTGAACTGTCTGCCCAGGGCGGACGCGTCGTCGACCCGTATTGGGCCGTCGCCGTCGACGAGGACGACCTCGCAGGGCCCCGGCCCGGCGGCCGGCGGAAGGGTGCAGACGAGCGTGTTGGCCGACCAGAACTCCGGCCGGATCGGCCCGCCTAAGCCTCCGAAATCCACCCGAAGCTCTCGGTCAAAATTCTCCCCGAGAATCGTAATCTCGATCCCGCCTTCGACCGGCCCTTTATTGGGCACCAGCTTCCTGATTCTAGCCCGCGAATCTTTCGCATCCATCCCAGTTCCTTGTGATCGATTGGTATTTCGCGTGGGTTCGATGCTAACTGATCCTTGCTGCGACTTGGTTGGAACCTCGGCCGACAAAGACTTGGGACTCGCGCCTGTGACTAAATTTGGTGGCAAAATATTCGACAGGACGTTCCAATTCGATAGTGCACTTCCCAATACGCACATTGGAGAGTTTCCAGCCGGAGAACCAGTCTGTGAGACATCGTTAAGGTGGTTGGAATGAGTGTCGATTTGATCAGCGGGTTGCTGGTCTGGAGAATTCTCTGATTGGGTTGGTAAGATGCATATGGTGCGATCTACGTCACTGATATTACTGCTACCATCACTGCCGCCTCTGCTTTGAGTGCATACAATCGAGCTTGATCGACTTGTAGAGATAGAACATTTTGCTTGGAGATCGTATCCTTGTAAATCGATCGAAGATTTAGGACTGGCATCCGAAGAGCCTGTGGGTGTGGGGGTAGCAATTTGAGAGTCAAACGGACATGTACGTGTATGATCCGGCGAGGAAGTTGTTGTCGAGCAACTTGGATGAGGGCCACTATAACCATTTTGATACGGCTGGATTGCTGAGTGAGCATGGCCACCTTTACCAGAGAGCTCAGAGGATCGAGACTGGGAATTGGAGTGCAACATTTCAGCAAGATCTGAAGAAGCGGGATAGTCGTTCGACTTGGCCTCATCATTTCTGGTCATGGATTGAGGGGGGTTATCTGCTGGCTGTGAGGTACTATGTGCGTTTACGCTCGAGTCCTTCATCTCAACGTCAATGGATAAAGTGGGCTTAACCTCCGGACGTGCAAAACATAAGTTCTGATCAGGGTATGACTGCTGTGGAATGGATGAACAATCTTTCCACTGGCACTTTGATGCGGAATCAGCTTGTTGCGTATCAGGCGGTGGTATAGACATGGGCATCGATATACTACGGTCATAGGATCTTGAACGGGATTGATCCGCTAACTGAAGCCCGCATTCTTCAAAGGAGCGAGATGATCCTGAGGGGGCGATAACTTGGTAATCGGGGCCAAACTCCAAATTCTGATGGGCTAATGAAGCATCGCGAGGCCCAACCAGGTGATTGTTTGTAGCCGTTTGATGCGATCCTGTCCTTCTTCCAACATTCACGCGGAGATTCAGTTCATCAGGAGCCTTGCGTTTACATTTCGTGGAGGTTGATTGTGAGCTTCCCTGCAGCTGAGAATGTAGGTATGTCGTATTCTCATTTGGGGTGGCACTTGCCGACGCCGTCCACCCGGCGGTAGAGTCAAAGCTACCATTATCTTGGATTGGTGTAGACGCTAGCTGATTATTAGATGTAGAGTCAATCGAAGCCACAAACGACTTTCTCTTTGTGCGATGGGTACCTGATGCACTTGTCCCAGGGCCAGCATTAGGAAGCTTTCGGATTGGTCGAGTACGTGTTTGACTGTCTTCGGCGTCAGATCCTGATTTGGCCTTAGCTGCAGCAGCCACTGCTTTGTGATCGTCAGTGATCATTATGGCGGGAGTCGTAGAGGTTGCCACAAAGCGATTGTTGTGGTCACGCAAGGTAATCTTGACGCTATTCAAGAGTAGAAGCGTTGGGTAAGTCTTCACTCACAAGATGTTAAGTCCGGGAGAGAAATGAAAAAATAAAAAATAAAAAATGCTGATAGAAACAAACCGGAAACCCTTTTTTTCGCGATGATGACGGCAATAACAAGTGATCCGGGTGGGTAGCGTAACTTCTCCGGAGTCGAAACTGACGTACTGGCCACAGTTGAAGACCACGATTTTCCGTTTCTCGTCTTCCGGTCTGATCGATTGTTCAGCCTCGTCACTTTCGATCTCTTGGGCAGGCCTGACCCGAGCATCTCTCTTTCGCTGGAGTCTTTTTTGCTGCAAGTGTGATGGCGTTTTCGTTAAAAATGGAATTCAGACTTGGGATCAGTTTCTTGCAGCCTTATATCTTCCTTCGGCAACAGGAAAGTCAAACATTGTTGCAGAACGTACCTCGCGAACTTGGCAATTGGAGCAGCAATAGATCTCCTCGTGTGGTTCGCTTTCTCGGACAACAGCGACGTCCAAGAAAAGCGTTTCCTCCGGGGGGATTCCTAAATTCAACATCATAGAATCAGAAATTGTCAAAAATTATGTCAAGCTTAAGCTTGAAGGAATGCGAACCTGTCTTGATGAGCTTCTTACTCTTCCGTTTGATGGCCGAGTAAACTGGAAGCTTGATGTGAGACCAATTTCCTAGACGTGAAAGGCTGTGTTGCGTTGGGGTTGACAGGTTACCATTTTGATCGATCGAGGCCCCGTCGCCAGTGACGAGGACCAGTGTGAGTTTGATTTGGGTTTCCACTCGGGTTTTAGCGCCTTCGGCTTGGAGTCCAATGAGCAATAATTTGAGGTCATCCGGGTAAGGTTCTGAAAGGTTCAATTGGTCAAGACGAGGGATGGCTAGTTCAACTTCGGTGGGCACCTCAGCGGCTGCGGTGATTGATTTGTTGAGTGCACTGTAGGACGCCGATCGATTGATGAGCAGATTGTTTTTGTGGTAATTCGGGTGGGCGACCTCCGAACCGGGGGGAAACTGATCTCGGTTAGCGGATTGAGGGGTGGGCACTGATGGGTAAGAGAGACTAGCGGGGGAAGGCAATGGGGAGGTTGATGAGAGGGACGATTCAAATTTATGATGGGCAAGATGGTCAACCGATGGGGAAGTTTGAGTTTGAGAGCCAAAGGTAGGATCGACGGCTGGTGTTGATTGGATACTAGCTGAGGCGGTGGTACTCAAGAAGGGTGCCGAAGGAGGCGGAGGATGAACCGCAGAGGAGACTGAGTGCCGAGTCGATGAGGCTGAGGGTGAGAAGAGGTCAAAAGAATTGATCAAATTGTGAAAGTTATCATTGAAATCGCGAAGCTCCTGGAAGGTTGAGATAGGTGGAGGATATAAAGAGGTTCCGGGATCGGTGGTTGCATATAAGGAAGACAACGGATCGGCCGGGATAAACGCTTTGCTAAAGTCGCCCGAGCTCTTTGGGGAGCTTTTCAAAATAGACTGGGAGGAGGAATCGCCATTGGCTAGTGTACTGATTGGTTCGTACGAGAACGAGGAAGAAGAGAGTGGGGTGGATGGACTTGACAGGATCGTCGGCCCGGATGGAAGAAACAAGGAGGAAACATCAGCTCAAATGATCCCGACGAGGCGCCGGTCGGCAGCCGGCCGGGCTGAAACTTGTTACACATTTATTTAAATTTTTTTGGGGGGGTATGTAACTGATTATGTACAACATCAACCAAACTCACGCGCATTGTTCCTCAGCTACCAAGTGGCTAAATTCCAGCTCGATGGGCTGCTGTCTGTCCTCGTCCTCAGTGACTATCTGATCGGTTGACTTGGCTGAATCGATCTGAGCCGAGGAGGGTGTGAAGCTAGACCAGAACTGGGAGAGATCGAGTGGAATTGTTTTTGTTGGCTGGGGATGAGGATGAGAAGAGGTGTTCATCTGATGGAGGAGGTCGAAGGAGGGACTGAGTGGATGGTGGTTAAATTTGAATGGAGAGTCGAATTTTGTTGTATCTAAGGAATGGGTTGGATGAAGATGGTGTGGGGTGAACTGATAAGGAACATCGGGTGAGATTGAGATGGCGGATGAGATTGGATGGTTGAGGAGATTGGTGGAAGATGTTGTCTTCAAATCTTTGATGTGAGTATCGTCATCCTTGATGGTAGTACCACTACCGCCAGTACTGCTGAGGCTGGTTGTGTACTCGGTGGTAGGAAAATAGCTATGGAATTTATTATGATTACTGTGAGTATTTTTATTATTATTATTGTTGTTGTTGTTCTTGAGGATTGATGAAGACGAGGATGAGGTGGATGTGGAGGATGATAGGAATGGGTTGAAGTGGTCCTGATGGAATTTGGTGGGAAATTTGTTGTTGTTGAAGTTGTGGTATGATATAGGACTGCTCTCCTGCTTGGATGAATCTCCGGCCAAGCCAGTCTGAGTCTGAGTCTGAGTCTGCTGAGTCTGAGTTACTTTCTCTTGTTTTCCATCCTCCGATGATCCGCTCGTCCTCGTCCTACCGCTGCTGATTGTTCCACCCGGCACTTCTGGCTCGTCAGCAGCCTGGCTCTGCTCGAGACAGGCTTGATGGATATTCCTGAGCTGGTCGTCGTCCTGGCTCGGCTGCTGCCCCTTTACTACGAGATCTTGCTGGGAGCTGTCCGGGTTCCATCGGCCGGCTGACGAGCACTCTACCGCTGCCGGCGGTGCTTCCCGGGTGAGCCGATCGTGTGCGGCGGGGCTGAGATCGCTGGAGTCCACCGACGGGAATTTGCAGTCCGCGCCATCCTCGGCCCCAAAGAGGATCGAAGCAAGCTCAGCATCCAGCTTCATCCGATGGCCATCCCCGATCGCACCATCCAGACCACCCTCCTCAGCGATCCCCGGCGGTGCTCGGTGTCCTAGCGCCGATAATCCGTCGTAGGACTGCCCAAAGTACATTTGGAGATAATAGTCAACCCCCTCTGAGGAACCAGTGGCGTCCGAGTCTGACTCTGGACTCGGTTGTTGTTGATTGTTCATCCTGATCAGCTGTCTCATGCTCTGTCCTGAGCCTTCCGATCTACTGGTCAATTCCTTGTTTTTGTCCCTCCTCTGCAAATTTGCGACGATGAAATGGTAGATCGGGGAAGATAAAAGGCCAATCCAAGAATTTCCAAGACCACGAGCCGCAAACGGACAGATAAATAAAATTGCTAATTGACAGACCGGCTGAAGCTCTAGACACGCAGCCTGGAGATGATTTCTACGGATAGGAGGACGATGATGATGATGATGATGATGATGAGGGTTCACTAGAAATAACCGATTCGTCGAGAAACCAAGCGTGGATGTACCCGGTTGGTTGATCTTGGAGGATAATATAGGATCAAACAGAAAGTCAATCAATCAGCCATCACGATATATGTCCATCAACTTCAAGAGTAAACTAATATCAACAAATTGGTTATGAACAAATACAGTGAGATTTAAACACAGGAATCAGGATGGAAGGGAAATCTGCTCTGAATTTTGAACAAGGTGAGGTCTAGAAATCCTCAAGCTGAAGAGCTCATAGCCAGTGAGCCAGAAAGAAGCACATCGACTAACTCACCAAGACTCAATCCGCAGGAGGTAGGATTCACTGCTTCATCTAGGAGCACCAACACATCAACCAACACCCAACAAACCGTTAACGGATATGCGCAATCGGAGCCCCTCCCCACGTGCGTGTCCAACAGGAGACCGGTTCTGCAGCGGCACTCGCGTTCACCTTAATGAGGAGAAGAAGACGAAGAAGCAGCAGCAGCAGCAGAGAGATTTGGGAGTAGCGCAAAGAACCTAATAGCCAGACAGACTTGGATAAAGGAGAGTGGACCGCGAATCTGTCCAAGGATCGTCCTAAAAGGCAAACCAAAAGAAGAAGAAGAAAAAAATACCGGTGAAGTAAGCGAACTGTCAGGAGAACAGGTCGAAGATAGAGATAGAAGGATTTCGAGGGAAGCAACAAGTCAAGGGAGGGCGGATGAGGGAAGATTGGAAGGAGCTATGTACCCGGGGGGTGGGAGGAAATAAATCAAATCAAAAAATAATAATAATGATAACAATAATAATAATAAGAGTGAGACATCATCATCATTATCGTCATCATCAACATCATCAGAAGGAGAAAAAAAACAATGCGGAAGGAATGTAGATAAGCCAATCTATACGACACCTTGGTGGTGTATTGAAAACAATTTAGTGACAAAACCAACCAACACCTCGAGAGTAAAATTCTCCCCCCTCCCCCCTTCAATGATTAACGAGGTGATGATGATTATAAGAAGACATCATGGTTCTCGTTAATGATCAATTCGCGATTGCAGCTTGGAAAGCTGATTTAAGATTTATTTATTTTTAATTCTTGTTTTTTTTTTTTTTTCTTTGCCGGTAAGATGAGCAGGCAAGCTGGCAAAGGAACGAAAGAGACTAGCGAGCCGAGCCGAAATGGGCAAATGCGGCCGGAACAAGCAAGAGAGATATTTAGTCGTGTACTGATCAGACTGTGTTTTGGTGCTAACTCTTGGTGTTGAGCCGGGAGCCTGACAGGGGGGGCAAGAGAACCGAAGGCCGGCGAGCGACTAGCTGGCTCAGGAATCTTGGTCTCTATCAAATCATAATTATTGAGAGCCAGATATAAGCGCATATATATATAAAATATAAACGAGGATAATAAAATGAAAACACGCAAGTTGCAATCAATCTACAACACCTTGGAGAGATTGAAGCTTGAATCGTCAGAAATCTCTTACTCCAGAGCTCTCTCCAAGTTAGCCGGAGGCTGTTGGAAGTTTGTTGATCGGTCGACTCCCTTCAAAGTGCAACCAGCAAGCAAGAAATCGTGGTGTGCTTGCAAGTGACTACCTTTTGTCCAGTCGGCTAAGCTTGAGCGAACTGACAGTCAAGCCAGTTGACTGATTGGTGTATGCTAGTCAACCGTGTTCTGTATATGCGACGGAAGCCAAGGAATTAGAGAATAGAGATCAGATAATATTTTATCAGGTATTTATGATCCAATCAACTTTTTGATCTCGAAGGTTTATCTCGACATATAACGTCACTAGACTTGAGTATGTAGATCAGAAGGGGGAGGAAGCGATCATATCCAGGAAAAGTAAAAAGCAAGAATGAGCAAGATAGATACAGTGGATGCTGCTAGGGGTTTGAGAGTTTTTGGATCCAATCTTGAACTACACAGTAGTAGGACGACAATCAAGAATACCAACGATATATGAAGTTGGCAGTGCTTGATGGATGGAGAGACTGCCCAAAAGCAAAGCCTTCGAATTCCACTCCAAACAAACAACCCAGACCATGATGGTGATCCTTATAGTATCATCAACATCATTCCAAAATTAACACCGATAATGCTGATTAGAACAGCGATGAATAGATGATGTCTTGTAGCCATAACGATTAAGTTTGAGAGCTTTTTCTCCCTCCCTCCCTCCCTCCCTCCCTCTCTCTTGAAAGAATGCAATATGCTGACTGAATACGCGTTCATGTATGTGGTTAGGGCGGGGAAGCAGGGCAGAGAATGTTCGATGGATGTACGGGCAAGAGAGCACGCGTAAATGACATTGAACTGACCCTTTTGGTTTTTCTTTTTTTTTCTTTTCGAGAATGACGAGTGGAGTGATGACTGAGCGGTGGGGATAGAGCCGATTAGCGCGAAGAGGGTGCAAGAATATAAAGGTATTAAGAGCAAAAGTGTTGGTTTGATAATCCACGAATCCGCAGGCTATACTTTGGAATTTATAGTGCTGGAAGTTTTCTGTTCAAAAAACCGAAGAGGGGACGAGTCGGTATGATAGGATAATATGAAGGATTGGACTGATGGCAGGGTGGAAGAGACGGGTTTTATGATGAACATGCTTTCTCTTTTTTTTTTACTCTGACATTGCTGTCATCATCATCAACATCGTCATCAGCATCAGCGTAAGAATAAGAATTGTAGTTATAGTGGTGCAGATTCTTCATGTATCCGGGCGGTAATATTTCTCTATGTAGGCTATGAGAAAGAGATTCGATGGAAAGTTTGGTTAAAAAATAGATTTTGACTCGAGAACCAAGGCTGTGGAGATGATCAGTGGGAGAGCTCAGTTTGGTTTGGCTAATCAAAAATGCATCCCAAAAGAAATGCGGTAAGTGGTCTCTCCCCACATGGAGTGCAAATGGGTGTAGAAAGATGCGTATGTATTCATGAATTATAGAGAGGCAGGCTTGAGATGCCATTGTGGCCATCAGCAGCTTCAATGCACTAACAGTGTGCCAGCAGGATAATCATCATGCTTTAATCCTCAGGTTTGCAGTATATCTAACCATCATCAGCATTCTACCAGTCTGAAGCTAGCCAAAACCACTGCGATACAGGGTATGTATCTTATATGTAGTCCAGAAAAACTGACGCCATGACCATGATCAAAATCCTAGAGGCCTTTACGAATCCTGGAGTATGTAAACTGAGATGCATCGAGGTTCAGCTCGAAGCATAAGGGTCAAGGAGAAGAAGTGTTCGCGATGTTTTCTATGCGGTGGTTGTAGCGCCAGGACCCCGGAAAGCCCCAACCAAGCCGCCTAATGTAAAATGTAGCAAAACAGATTTTTTTTCTGAAATGTCCCTAATGTAAATCCGCAAAAAGGTAGCAAAAACAAAAAAAAAGCAGCACATGATCCTTCTGTATGTGGTAGCAATTTGTCCACCAGTTGTAGTTTATGCATGAAATGATTAGAGATTTTTCACAAGGATGAAAAAAAATTGAATTTTATGCATGATAGGAAAATTTATTGAAATTTTTTTCAAAAATAACCAAAAGGACCCTGATGTCGGAGGTAGCAAAACATGCATCTGCCCCCCAAAACCAGATATTCCTAGGTAGCAAAAACCCAGATTTCGCAGATTTTACATTAGGTGGCTTGGTAGGGGCTCTCCGGGGTCCTGTAGCGCCAGTATCTTCCCTTCATGCAGCACTTGCCGGTGCAGATGTGTGTGTGTGTGTAGAGAGTTAAGAGTCTCTACTTCAATCCTAGAAGTACGTAGAAAGACTGCAAAAAGCCTGCAGACTAGTGAGGCGCTTGGGTGGATCTAGTGACAATAGTTTGACCACCGCGAAGACAACGACGGCCACTGATTTTACATAGTAGTTTGGATGGACACATGACTGGATTTACACTCACCTGGCTCAGCTGGACGGACTGCAACAAATATGGTACTCGGATTGGATTTAATCCTGATGAGCTCAGATCAGTCATCACCCCGGCTCGATAGCTGGCTGAGCTCGGTCTGGTGACTCACCGGCCTCGAGTTGCAGTGAATAGCTTTCGATCCGGAACACTGGAGACTCTTCTCGTCTTCTGTTGGGTTGGTTGTTTTTTTGATGTAGTCTTGGGTGAGCTCAGTTATGTATCGCTGAAGAATCACTGGAAGCGAGCAAAATGTAAGATCAGAAGGTTAGAGAAAATCGGTTGTCGATCAAGTTCAGCTTTCCTTAAGAACGGACGATACATACATAAAAGTTTATCTTGCAACTTCAAGCCATCTGTGATTAGAGGCTACATAGCTCAGGACGACGGAAGAGATTGATCTCAGTTGATGACAGATTGTATGATGAGTCTTTTGGTCAAGGACCTCTAATAATCGGATAAACCGCATGAATATCAGAGAGGGCGCATACATAGCCATCTCCATGCTCGTGTTGGCACACATCAGAGGCCAGTGGATTTTCTGTGCAGTGTAGTAAAAAGACAAGCGACACTGGCCAATAAATCCTCGCAGGACAGTCGGCGCGGTCCTTGCAAAGCTCGGAAACAACCTGTCCGACGGCCGGACATTAACCTGCGATGACTGCTCGCTCGGGCAGTGTAGCTGTTCGTGGTCAGTGTGAAGCGGAAGTTTGTCAGCTCGACGAGCTGAAGAAAGCAACCACGGTCTTGCACAAACCCATCAGCTCGGAGGTGGAGAATGCGGAAAAGAAGGAAAGGAGATTGTTTGTGCTTCTTGA